TTGCATTTTGAGACAGGGTCCCACTATGTAGTTGAGACTGACCTAGAACTCACTATGTAGCCCAGGCTGGTCTCGAACTCACAGTGATCCTCCTGCCTCAGCCTCCCGAGTGCTGGGATTATAGATGTGCGCCACCACGCCTGGTATCAATAAACATTTTTGTGAAAAATGATTTATAAAGGTGGATTGATTCTTTGTAAATCTTTCACCAGGCAGTGGTATGGAGTAGAAAAGTAGGGCAGTTGCATATCGTGGTAGGAAAGTGCCTGAAGTGTGATAATTGTGAAAGCTGAATAGGTAAGGTAAAGAAGTCAAGATTGGGTTGTGCCTAAGGGGCTGTAGCAGAGGCTGAGTGATTAACAGTCAGTTGTTTTCACCTCTCAGTGAGTGGTTCAAGAAAAGCTAAAGGTTTGTAACCTTGTGTACTAAAACTTATATGAGTTAGATATTTTTTAAAAAGTAATTTTTAAATTGATACAATTTTAAGCATGTGGTGCTGAAGCATAATGAAACTTTAAAATCAAGATAATCATTTGCTTGTTTATTCAGTCCAACGTCCCAAAATAATGGAACTAATTTATGCTTTGTTTTTTCCCTTTAAGATGGCCCAGCAGACTACAGGTGGAAGGGACACTCGGTTTTTACGTGATGAAATTCGCCAACTGGAAAAGCAGTTGGAACAAAAAGACAGAGAATTGGAGGACATAGAAAAGGATTTAAATAAAGAGAAGAAAGTTAATGAACAGGTAAGGCACATTTTCTTTAGTGAATTTTAACTGTTCCAATTAAGATGCTCTTGTGGAACATAGTCATTGGTAACAGTATCAGTTTTATGCTCTATATTACAGTTGAGGCATGATCTGCATCTGTCGGTAAGATTTTATATTACTGTTCATTTTGTCATCTCATCTTTAAAATAAAGTGGATTAAGTACTTCTAGTGACTATAACTGGATTAATCTTTTATATTTGGATGCATATTTTTCTGAGGACATTGTGATACATAAAATTGATACCTTGGTCTTGAGGTTTGGTATGAAGAAGTTAATAGGCATTCATAAACAAGTGATTTTCTTACTATCCTGGTTTATTTTGGGTAAAAAGTTATACATGCTTGTATTAGTGTATTTATATGCATAGGAGATTTGGAAAAGTGGAATGTATAACGTGTGTAGCTGTGCAGTTTTTAAGAGATTGAGTGTGGGTTTGGATTGCTTGGGTAATTCCTTCTTTGCCTTTATCAGTTGGTTTTATTGTATATTTACTGAATATCAAAGACTTTGCTAGTTACTAGGGCTACAGTAACTATTTTCTAGGTCTGAAGGATACTCATAATCAGCTTTAAGCATAATATAGGGATAGTATGGCACTATGGGGAAACATAGGATGTAAGAATATTGTGGGATACTCTGGGAAGGATACCAAATCAGTCTTGCAATTCAGAAATCAGTCTCAAAGCTGAGGCCTAAGGTAAGAGTAGTGTGGCAATAGGAATCAAAGTGTATGTGGTGGCCAAGGAATGAGCATTCTAGAGAGATAATAAAACATTTGCTAAGACCTGTGTTAAGAGATATTACCGTGTACTCAGGACCAGCAATTATTCATTTTGGCTGAAATGCATGTAGATCAAACAGCTTCCATAGAGTCTTTACTATGTCCCAGGCACTTTATGTGCACTAATTCATTATTCTCAATTGATACTCATCATATGGTTTTTTAGATCTTTTAAAATGGGCCTGTTTTGTCCTTTCTAATCCTTATTTTTCAAAAAATTTTATCATATTTATGCCTTAGTAGCTAAACCTCTATTGAGCATATTTAGAATTTAAAGCAACAAGCTGAAAACTTTTATTTATATTGAACTGCTGCTGAAATCTCTCTCTTTTTTTTTGCTAATTTAGTTGGCTCTTCGAAATGAGGAGGCAGAAAATGAAAACAGCAAATTAAGAAGAGAGGTTGGTAAAACATTTTAGTAGTTGTGCTAGTTCAACAAAAATTACTTACTAAAAAAGTTTATATAAATCTGTTGTAACCAGTAATGGAATCTTCTAAGTAACCAGTGTTTTAAACTAGCTGATTTTATGATATGATTTTATCTCAGGAAATTAGACAAAATTTGATGCCATTAAGTACTATATGCATTTCTTAGCTCTGCATAGGTGAAGAAAGCTTTTTGTTATAAAAACTAGTCTTTCCTAATTCACCAGTGAAGTATATGACTGAAATTCGGTTTTTATTATTCTTTTATCTAGCATTCTTTTAAAATTTTTGTTTCTCATGGAATCTTACATACTCTGATTATTTGATTTCTGGGTCAAATACTGTTTGTGCATCATCTATCTTAATAGGCATTCTTTCTAGCATAATCAAAATGTTCTTTGGCTATTCAAAACAGTATACTTCATTCTCCTAAACTTTCTTAATTTTTATTTTAATTTCTCACTATTATTTTTAATTTTGTGTTGCTTTTCTCATTTCTAATTACCTTTCTCGTGTCCTTTTCTGGAGAACAAACGTCTAAAGAAAAAGGTGAGGCTTTAAGGGTGGTGAAAGCTTGGGAATTTAAAGATATATTCTGAGCACACTACTGAGAGGATGTAATTTTGTTATTCCAGAAAGTTTCTTAGCAATGTTGTGTTGATATTTTCAGAATGAACAGCTTCGTCAGGATATTATTGACTACCAGAAACAAATAGATTCTCAAAAAGAATCGCTTCTATCAAGAAGAGGAGAAGATAGTGACTACCGATCACAATTGTCTAAAAAAAACTATGAGCTTGTTCAATATCTGGATGAAATACAGGTAAAATGAACAAGCCAGTCTGGAGCAATGATTGACATAGAATCATAATTTGTTTACAGTGTAAATGCCATATTATAAAGCTGTCACTGTGTACTTGGAAGGTGTGAAATAAATTGCATCTTTGAAGTTGCAACTCCTTGCTCTTTTTTTTTTATGAATGTCTATCTTGAGTGTTAAGTTTAATTGAGAAATTTATGTATAATTTTCTTTATATCTAATTTGTTTTAATTGGTTAACATCAGTTCATCCTAGCATTCAATAAAGAATTTTATTTATTTTGGATATTTATGGTTCCATTTACTTTTCATATAAACTTTAGTTTCTTAAAAGTTACGATGTCTCTAATTTTTTTAGACTTTAACAGAAGCTAATGAGAAAATTGAAGTTCAGAATCAAGAAATGAGAAAAAATCTAGAAGAGTCTGTACAGGAAATGGAGAAGATGACTGACGAATATAATAGGATGAAGGCTGTTGTGCATCAGACAGATAATATGATGGACCAGTTAAAAAAAGAGAATGATCACTATCGACTTCAAGTAAGAATAACTGTTACAGTGACTTTTTGGGGGGTGTCAGGGATTGAACTCAGGACCTTGTGCTTGCTAGGTAGGGAACAGAACCATTGAGCTAAATCCCTGGGTATGGTGAATTTGTACAAAGACTTCATATTGTTTCATTGCTATTTGTTTGAAACTAGAAATGCTTTAATTTTCTAAAATGTGGATTTTGTTTCTCTTTTTAGTACTGTAATATGTTGCCATCTTGAAAAGTTGTTTCTTTAATCTCATAAGCACCTTGTAATTGTTGCCACCTAGGGTTGCTATTAAGGATACCTGATTGAATGTATGGATAGTTTTACAAAGATTATAATTATGGGGATTTGCTGCTGAAGATAGTAAATCTTAAGATTAATATGCTATGCATATATTAGTAACCAATGCATTTTTCACTGTTTATTTGGAATTAAACTTTTAAAATGAAGAATAATGTTTAAAATATAGTTCTCTGGTAATAAAAGATAATTAGTACAGGTTAGGTCTCCCTTGAAATGCTCAGGGACAGAAGTATTTCAGATTTTGAATTTATTTAATTTTGCAGTGAGTGAATGAATATACATAACGAGATAGCCTGGGGGTAAGACCTGAGTCTAAATACTAAATTTGTTTGTATTTCGTGTATACCTGATACATATATATATATCCCGAAGATAATTTTATACAATATTTTTAATGTGCCCATGTTTTGAATGAAGCCTATCACATAGGTGTGGAATTTTAATATTTGCGGTATCATGTCAGTGCCAAATAGGAGTTAATTTTGAAACATTCCAGAATTTGAATTTTTGGATTAGTTACTCAAAATGTATAAAGATTCAGAAACCATTGAATGTTATCTTTAACTGCAACACCATGGCAGTAACAGATAATAAGTAAAGGTAATATATCTATATATGTATATGTGTACATATATAAATATGCATATGTAGTAATTATATTTATATTGTACCAATTTTTACCAGTTTTTGAAATAATTGTTGCGTTTTAGGTTCAGGAGCTTACAGATCTTCTGAAAGCAAAAAATGAAGAAGATGATCCAATCATGGTAGCTGTGAATGCCAAAGTAGAAGAATGGAAGGTGCTTTTTCTCAATGGATATAATCTTTTTTCATTTTATACTTTAGATTTAAATTTTAGTCTTATTTTTGTTTAAAGAACTTATACTAGTGATAACATTTTAATTAGTTTTTAAAAAGTTTATCGTAATAAAAGCTCTAAACTGTCCTCATGCTTGTTACTGAATGAGTGCTTTCAAATCAAGATTAATAAGAGTAAGGGAATGACAAAAGTGACTTCTCCGAATCACTTAGGAATTTCAGTTTCTGTCTCTCTTCTTCTTCACACACTATAATCTCAACCAGTTCCACGGCTTTAAAATATGAGAAGCTGGGATTGTGATGTTTGTGTATTTGACAAACATTGAATATGACTGAATTAATGATTATTGTAAAAGCTTTCAGGACTGGCATCATTGCTTCTAGCTAGGTTTATAGTTGGAATTGAACCTGAGGTATTTTAGGATTGGTTATCTGGGGAGTTAGATGATGTCTACCTGAGACAAAAACAGTAACATTGAAAATGAGGACTGAGGAATCATGGGTAAGTAAATTTTATATAAAGTGCTAGTAAGTAAATATTTTAGGCCATCTCTTCTCTGCTATAACTCAATTTTATAACTGTTATAATTCAGTTCTGCTGGTACAACATGAAAACAACCACAGACAATAAATAAATAAGGATATTTTTCAGTAAAACTCTTATTTACAAAAAAAAAAGTAGCAGGCCGGATTTTACCTGTAGACTTTAGTTTACTAGACTTTGGAAAAAATAAGTATTTTTATTTTTTGATGAGGAAATGACATTATGTTGTATGTTTGCTGTATTTTGTTTTGACTTAATATTTTGTTATAGTGACTTTATGTCTGATTTTATGTTCTTTTTAATGGCTATGTAATTTTTCTATGTAGATATGTAAATTTGATAATTCTCTGTGACATTTAGGGGTTTCTAATTTTTTCTGTTAGCAGTAATGTTTTAGTGAATATTCCTGTATAGATGCTGTTTTGAAAAAGCACATATATACTGGTAAAATAAATTGCCACAAGCATAATTGTGATTTATGTTCCAAATACATTCCTCCAATTTGTCTCCTATCTTTTGGCTCTGTGATAGCTTTTCTTTTTGCAGAACTGGGGATCGAACTCAGGACCTTGCACTTGCCAGGCAGGTGCTGGTGCCACTGAGCCCTTCTGTGGTAGCTTTTAATATAAAGTATTTTTGTAGTGTGTATTTAAATATATTTTAGAGGCTTTCAACTTTTATTCCATAACTAGAAAAGCTTCTTCATATGAACTTCTGTCATATTATTTCCTAGTATCTTCTGATTTAATCTTTTGCATTTCAGTCTTGGAAGTATGTATAATCCACTTAGGTATAAAGAATGTAATATGGATGCAACAGAGCTACTCTGTTATTCAGATACCATTGAAGATTTCATCTTTTTCATGCTGAAATACAGTATCGTGTTTATTACATACAGATCTGTTGAATTGAGTTATTTTTGGACTCCTTTTTATTGACCTGTATTCTAACAACATATAGTTATTTTAACTATTACATGTCTGAATATCTAAAAAGGCTGTTTTTATTAATTTTCTGCTTTTAGACCCTTACAAACAAGTTGAAAAATAGGCTGTTGATTTGTTTTTAAAAATATTTTTTTGAGTGTATGTAAAAGTTATAAATTGATTTAGAGATTAAGGATGAACATGTTTAGCATGATATTTTGTCTCTAAGAACACAATATTTTTCACTCATTCTAGATATTTTCTCTCTCAGTATTTTAATGTTTATTCCATAAAAATCAGTTGTATTAAAAATTTTTATGTGGAGGTACTAATAACTTTTTTAAAAGTGAGTTTTGAGACCTTGCAGTTTTTCAAATAAAATTGAATTTTTTAAAGTGAAAATTATAGTGTGTGTTTTGAACCCAAACTTCAGGTTGTATGTACAAAATGAGCAAAAGTTGTAGTGGTAGTTGCTGGTTATTGACATAATATTTTTGGCCTCAAACATGAAGCAATCCTGCTGCCTAAGCCTTATGATATGGGAATTACAGGACTGCACCACTCCTAGATCTTTTCTGTTTTTCTTTGATATTCTAATGGTATAATGTTATTTATCATAAATGAAGAATGATCTGTTAATTTCCATTTTTTGTAATTGATCTCATTTGTTTTATTTCTAGTTAATTTTGTCCACTAAAGATGATGAGATTATTGAATATCAGCAAACATTACATAATCTGAGGGAGAAACTTAAAAATGCCCAGCTTGATGCTGATAAAAGTAACATTATGGCTCTGCAACAGGTAAAAACTTCTCAAAATTTAATTCATCAACCAGTTTTTAAAAATTAAGAGTGTGAATTTTCTTATTTATTATGTTTTATGTTCTTTAAATTTAGTGGCTTCCATTACTGGGTGTATAGTATTTTTAATTTTCTTACACTAGTTCCCAGAAAATAATCAGTGAAGTTTAGAGAAAGAAAGACAGTTAGGAATGGAGTCATTTTATTTTTTTCTGTTGATGTGGCTAATAAATACAGTTTTAGTCAAAAATTTTCTTTTAAAAACACTAAGATTCTAAAATATCTTAAAATTCATTATCTAAGTCTTGACATAACCTATGAAATGTGAAATCAACTAAACGTGTGATTATAATTTCAATGGCTATGCACAGATTTATATTTATTAAAATACATATACTCAAATGAAAGCCATAGTTCATTATCTGAGTTCTTTTTAGTCATAGGCCATAAGAAAGAATGAAATTTGAGAAATATTTGGAAAATTAGAAGAATTAAAAGCAGCATATCTGAATGAAATACTGAAGAGACAGAGGCAAAGTTGAATAAAAGAGAAAGTGCAGGATAAAACACAAAGTGATAGCAGCGAACTTAACATAGTGTTGTGCACTTGAGGTATACAAAATATTAAAGTCCAGTTTTACCCACAAGAAAGCATTTCTGTAGTCTTGTTAAAAACAAATGCCTCCCTTTTTCTTTACCTTGAAAATGTATGTTGATATTCATAAAGGGATATGTGATATTTTGAAATATTTTGTAGGGTGTACACAAAAGAGATGATCAAATTAAGATGCTCACTGAACAAGTAGAACAGTATACAAAAGAAATGGAAAAAAATACTTTTATTATTGAAGATTTGAAAAATGAGCTCCAAAGAAACAAAGGTAATTTAATATTTCATAAGTATACAGTTACTTTATATACCATTTTTGTTAGAATTGTGTGAGATATATTATTCTCCTTTTCCATTTCATCATATTTTCTAAAGTTATATATTATTATGCTTGTATTAGCAGTGCTTACATTTATAAAAGATGAATGTTTTGTCTTGTTTTTTCCTCTCTGATGAAAAATTACAGCTGGATGTGGTGGCACGTGCCTGTAATCCCGATACTCGGGAGGCTGAGGCAGGAGGATAGCCAGGTTTGAGGTCAGCCTGGGCTACCCATTGAGTTCAGGCCCAGCCTGAAATAGTGAGTCCCTGTCTCAAAAATCTGAAGGAAAAAAAACAAAAAAGGAAAGAATATTACATTAGCACTGTTATCAGACTCATTATATAAAAAATGAAAATGGTAATATAATTGTTTTTATTTAACTTCCCTTTTATACTTAAGGAATAGAGAGAATAAAATTTTAATCACCATGTCAGCATTGCAGTTAGTTTTCAGAATTTGACACATCAGCATTTGAATTAATCTTACCCAGTTAAAGTCTCATCATATTCTCCTTAAAATAATTGCTTAAACTAAATTCCTGTTACCTTACCTAACAATAGTTTTGCTGATCAATAAGCCCTCTCAACATGACTCCTGTTATATCTGCATTGCCCTACATACTGTAGGTACAGAAGGGATTTGTAATATAAACTATTCATGACAAATTCGTGGATATGTTTAGTAAAATATCGAAAGATTTTTAAAAAGACCCAAATAGTAGGAAATAGTGAGTTTGTAGAATTATCATTTAGATGGTGAAGGAAAAGCTGCACTGAGAGGACAATGAAAAAGAGATTAAAAGAGGAATAAATAATGTGAGTCATACAAATGGCTCTAAGGAGAGGGAATAATTTCAATGACACAGAAGCAAGGTTGTACCAAGCTTTTTAGTGACATACTACTTCTGTCCTCATATTGGAACTGTTATGGAAGGAATTGGTAACTGACATCCAGAGGCGCAGAATGGAAGAAAATAAGAAAAGTTTATTTTGTCGACAAAGGTCAGTAGCACCTAAAATCAGTGCCAGGATCAACCCCGTTCTGGGCTATAGCTTCCCCTTTTATGGGGTTTTACAGCCATGATCTCATTCAGGTGGTTACATTTCATTCTCAGTTCACATTGTTGATATATAAATCATAGTCACAAGACAGTTAAATTTCAACGCAATTGTAGCATTTCTTTGTAGTTAAGGAGTTTTACCTTTAAGATTCATCTATCTATATATTCTAGTCCAGGGGAAGGGGGTGTTCCCGGTCAACAAAGCAAAGCTAACAATGGTTCTTTTTTTTTTTTTTTTTTTTTTTTTTTTTGAAAAAAAAAAGTTCATTGGTACATTTTAGGGATACAGTTGCATTCATTGTTGGGATCTTGTACCTCCACATGACAAGTCTTGATTCTCATTTTTTCCCCTTACCCCTGCCCTCCCTTCACCCCCTCCTCCCCTCCCCATCTACAAACACTTTATTTTCATCTTTTCATTATCTCACATTTTTTTCCTTTCCCTTTTTACTCTTCCCCTACCCATCCCACCCTTCCCTACACCTTTAGAAATGGGAAGAAAGGAGGGAACAATGGTTCTTTTTACCTTGACCTTTACAACCATGTGGTTTACAAAACTTTGGAGCCTGGGGGTCTCAATGTGCCCAGTTATCTCAGGATGAGGCCAGATACCTCATTCAGTGGTTAATGCCTCCAGTGTCTTAATTCTGAACTAAACGAAGATTAAACTAAACTGCTTTTAGGGACAGCAGAAGTCATTCTACATTATGACCTTTCATAGGTTTTGCTATTTGTAAGTTTTCTCTATCAGAACCACTGATTTAAAAGACGAATTATGATTAACTCATAATTTTTGTGTTTACTCTGAAGGTACTTCAACTCTTTCTCAACAGACTCATTATATGAAAATTCAGTCAAAGTTGCAAGTTTTACAAGAGAAAACTAAAGAGGCAGAGAGAACAGCTGAGCTGGCAGAGGGGGATGCTAGGGCAAAGGATAAAGAATTAATTGAGGCTCTGAAGCGATTAAAAGATTATGAATCGGTATGTATTTTTATCTTGTCAGTCAAGGAGCTTATATTTATTTTGGCTACTCAGACAGTTCTGTGTCACTTACTATATTCTATTTAAAAAACACTCATAAGTCTCTCAATAAATATGGTTCTGAGTGAATTGTTAAACTATTCAAGCTTATGAGCATTCATTTTTTTTGTTGTGAGAATTGTTTTCAGACCTTAGCATTTTGCCCACATAAGCAGCTTTGATGAGGCAGCAGGTTTAAGTGCTTCGTTTTCTGTGTGCTTTGGGCCACTGTGTAGATGTGACCCCACTGGCTAGTTTGATAAAACTTGTGACAGTTTTGTTACTTACTGTGTCAACCCGGTCTACTTTATTCTCTGTATTTCGTCTTAAATCTGATTAAAAGTAAATCTGGTGGGCCAGGGATTTAGCTCAGTGGGTCTGCTGCCTGCCTTGTAAGCACAAGGTCCCAAGTTCAATCCCTGGGACCAAAAAAAAAAAAAAGTAAATCTGGCAACTAATATATATGGTGATTCATTTTTTATTTTTATCTATATTTTCTTAAGTATTTTATGTGCAATAATTTGAGCCATTAAAATAACTTACTGGGAAGTTTCAGCTGTTTCATATTCCATCATTATTATTATTACTAGATTGGGTTAATAAAAGCATAACAAAAAAATCCTTAAAGTATAGTTGTTATGTTTTCGAGTATAGGTGAAAGAAATTAATTTAAAATTTACAAAAACCCTTGTATATACCTACCATATAAATTGCAGGTGCATATTTATTTCCCTTTAGACTTAATAAAACAATAAATTCATGGACTTGATGGATTTATTCAAATGAAACACAAGATATTTACATTGGCTGTTTTTCAGGGAGTATATGGTTTAGAAGATGCTGTTATTGAAATAAAGAATTGTAAAAACCAAATTAAAATAAGAGATCGAGAGATTGAAGTATTAACTAAGGAGATCAATAAACTTGAGTTGAAGATCAATGATTTCCTTGATGAAAATGAAGCATTGAGAGAGCGTATGGGTAAGCCGTCTTTAAGGTCACAGTTTTCTTGTAAACGGGAGGTAGAGGGTTGAAGGGAGGGCAGGAGAATGGGGAAAAGAATTACAAGTAAGATATATCATGTAAAGGTACAAATTCCCAATGATGAATGTCAGCATATTGTATACCTAAAGTGTACCATAAACGTAATGGAAAAAAAAGATCATAGTTTTCTCAAGTGTTTCGTGTCTTTCTTGTTTACTTTTGGTGTGTTTATTTTATTTCAAGTAGCTAAATTTTTTTTCAAATTAATATTTCAGTGAAAACAGTGAAGACCAAACTAGAGCTGCCCTGAAGTAGGCTTGGGGATTTCATGGTGTTGGAATGGTGGGCGGAGAGGCCTGGAGCATTGGTTATTCAGTCCTAGTATCTGCTCAGTAATAACTGCATCTTTAAAAGTTTCTGTAGTTCATTTCAATGTTTACCATTTTTTGTTTATGCCCCTAAAAGAAGAGCCTATCTGACTTATTCCTTTGAAAAATACTTTGTTTCAGCTGAATTCATGAGGGCATGTATAAATACTATTCAGACCTTTTAAAGACTTTTAAATACTTGAGTGTTATAATTTAGAATAAGAGTTCCATTGATCCTAAGAAGTTATTTGTAAACATAGCTTTAAAATTTATATATTAACTTCATTAGTCAGCAGTTAATACTTTTAGTTTAAATGTTATGACTATTCAGTCTAATTTGCTTCTTTAAAATGAAAATAAAGATCTAAATACTGATTTCATTATGCTTGTTAAATATCACTTAATGCTTTCTTAGAGGTAAAGTGACCATCTGTAGACATTTTTTTAATCTGTAGAGGAAGAAAAATAAACATTTTTATACAGATTGTTTGAGAAAAGTGTCTTATTAAGACCTAGGATTATACTAAGATATCTAATCTTCTGATTAACTTGAACAATCAGTTCACAGCCAGAAATCTTGAAATATCTAAAAATTACCTCTAACCAATCAATACAGCTTTCATGAATACCAAATTTTCTGTTTAAAAAGCTTCAAATCTTGGTTGGCAATTACTTTAGACAATTTTGATAATCTGGTTTTTAAAAGCTAGCTGCTTAGTGAAAGTAATTAGGAGATAGGTACACCGGGAACATCAGACTAATAATGATAATTGATATTCATGTTAATATTAAAAATGACTGCCATGTGCCAGGCACATGTTTAGATTGATTTTATTATTATTCTGACAAGCCAAAATAAGTACAATATTATCCCTGTGACTTCATTGTAAGTTGAAAGCGAGAATTGAACTAAGATCTGTTTTAAAGTTTCTGTTCTTAATTCATTGTAGTACCATTATGACAGACTGACTTGGAGAAAACAGGGTTGTCATAATATAATCATATAGTTATGAATTTTTATGTTACAGTTATAAATTTTTTGTTACAGTTAGATGTAGAGAAAATTTTTGCACAACAGGTCTTCATTCTTTAGGCTAATGAATACAGGCTAAGTGAGTATAACCGGTTGCTTGGTGGTGTATGAAATTTTTATATTTCATTTAAAGCTTGGCATGGTGGTGCATGCCTATAGTTCCAGCACTTGGGAGGCTGAGGCAGGAGGATCTCTCTGAGTTTGAGAGCAGCCTGGGCTACATAGTGAGTTCCAGGGCAGTCTCAATTACATAGTGAGACCCTGTCTAAAAAAAAAAAAAAAAAAAAAAAATATTTCAATGTTTTACAATTTTTAATTGTATTGCTTTCTGTTGTAGGCCTTGAACCGAAGACGATGATTGATTTAACTGAATTTAGAAATAGTAAACGCTTAAAACAGCAGCAGTATAGAGCTGAAAACCAGATTCTTTTGAAAGAGGCAAGTGTGGTGATCAATTGATTATTTGATAATTGAACTAGAGAGAATTACTAATAATTCATGCTTTACAGATTGAAAGTTTAGAGGAAGAACGACTTAGCCTGAAAAGAAAAATTCGTCAAATGGCTCAGGAAAGAGGAAAAGGAAATACAACTTCAGGTATTCTCAGTTATACCATACCTTAAAAAAAAATCATTTGGAGGGGCCAGGGATTTAGCTCAGTGGCACCTCGCCTGCCTTGCAAGTGCAAGGTCCTGAGTTTGATCCCTGTACTGAGAAAAAAAAACAAACAAAAAAAACATTAAACTTCCTAAAATAATCATTTGGAAATGAATTGTATGGTTTTAAAATTTTCTATATGTGGAGATGCTTTTGCTCTCTTACCTTTTTTGTGTTACAAGTCTAATAAATGAAAATAATAGCCTGCAAAGGAAGAAATAACTGCAATTAGATTTAATTGTGAATCTGAAGCAGGTTTAAGATAAAAAATAAAAAAGAATAAAAAGAGACTTTAGAATCATGAAATTTTGAAAAATACATCTTTTTTTTTTTTTTTTTTGGTAATAGGGATTGAACTCGGATCCTTGAGCTTGCAAGGCAAGCCTCCGAACCGCTGAGCTAAATGCCCGGCCTGTATTGTATATCTTTAATGATAAACTTAGCAGTTCTTACATTAATATTTTCCCTTTAAGGACTATGCAGTGAAGATTTTCTTTGTAAATTATTCTTTTCCAAAGGAAAGTAATGTGTTATTGAATATAAACTGTTTATCTTACTGCACAGATAACAGTTTGTCAAGTTTTATAATAGACGTTGCAGTGCATTTTTTGAGGATTTTAAAGGAACTTTTTTTTAAAACCTGGGTCAAGTCCATAAGAATATCTATGAGTAATGCAACATTATATTTTTTTAATATTATAACTTCTATAACACATCAAAAATCTTGTACAGAAGTGAAGCTTCATAATTTATTAATGTAATATCCAGTTTACTTATTTTGTGGTTCTTATTTTACATGTGTTTTATACTAATTTGGTACTCATCAATTCTTTTAGTATACAGTGGACAAAGAATGATAGAGAAGATAAAATTCAAGTTGGTTTCTTTAATTATTAATAGCTTATTAAAAGTGAACTGTATCAGAAGGTTATGTTAATTAAATATGGGTCAAGAATTTTGGAAGCAGTTACTCTACCTGTTACTTTGGGTGAAATTGATTCTAGTTTTTAAGAATTAAAACATTGCAGTACTAAGAATTATTTTTATTTTTCAATGTGTTAATTATTTTACATGTAGGATTAACCACTGAAAATCTGAATTTAACTGAACACTTTATTCAAGAACATAGAACAGGAGAACAAAAACTGAATTTTGTCAGCCTCAGTATGAGTGAAGCACAATCAAAGGTAAGTAGCAAAGAGAATAAAGGAAAATGTTACCGGTGCTTTCATTTCATTGTCTCCCTTTGGACATCTGCTCTTTTTATGATTGTTAAATGAGTAAAGAAAAATGTTTTATTCCTTAACCTATATTTGCTCTAAATACAGATTAAGAACTCAGATAAGATAGAACTGCTACCCAAGAGGCCATCATTTAGTATTCCACAATCAGATCAGATTATGATCATGCAATCTGTCAAGAATGTTACCTGCCAGGGTTTTTAGCTCAGTGATTCTGCCGCCTGCCTCGCAAGCGCAAGGACCAGAGTTCGATTCGAACAAAAAAAACAAAACAAAACAAAAAGAATGTTACCTGAAATTCGTAATAGTGTAGAGAGTGCATCCTTTGTCTCTTTGACTAGACATTCTTCATCTATTCAAATAAAAGATGATCGTTCACCTCCCGAAACTATTACAGTAAGAGAAATGTCTCAAGCATCATACCTATGGTCATTAACAAATCTACAGTCATTAGTGGGTACTTGTATTAGGGAGAGGGAGAGCCATGAAGAAAAATGAAAATTTCTACTCTTTCTGATGACTATATGAAGAAAGTATCAGGAAGACATGAAGCCCTAGTTAAGACTAGTTTCATATAAAAAAGTAATTTGTCCTTTGAATCCATACTTCAGACTTAATATCAGAAGTATCACTTAGGCAAAAGTCTTCAATGTTTTGTCAACAAATTCAACAACAATATGATAATAGAGTTGATATGGATAAATTATAAGTAGTAACATCTGAAGAACAGATTTACTGCCACATAAAGTATGCTGGATATCAATTTGGAAGAAGACAAAAGAAAAAGAAAAGTATTCTTACAGATTTTAAAAAGTAAGCTTAAGGTTAATCTTTTGTATTCAGTGCCTGGTACTACCAATTGTCTCAAATAGATCCACTTGAAAATATTTTAGAATGGCCACAGGGAAGACCAGTATTTCTTAGATCTCCAGTGGGCTTTTCTCCAGGTAACCTTTTTATGATTCCTGTAACATGGTGCTATAACTATTATACAGTTGTTTGCTTCTACATTAACAGTAATTTATATCCATTCTTTTGTTTTAAAAATTTAAATGCAGTGCATTTGATATGTACTTGCCCAATGTATTAAGTTTTTCTTTAGAATGAAATTATAGCACAGGATTTATTGATTAAAGAAGTACAGAGTAGAAATGCAGAAATAAAGCTTGAACATCATAGAAGCCAGGATGAACAGGTAGTATAAAGATGGACAATGAAGAGGTAATTGTGCTACTAAAGACAAAAATCTTCATTTTATCTCTTTGCCTTTTGCCATGGGAGTTGGTAGAGGGGGCAGGTGGAAGGAAGATCACCATCTCTTAAGCCCTTTAGACTTTATTTTATTTTGATAATTACTGCTCTCTGTCCGTAGCATGTTTTTGGTGTGTTATACCTCAATTGATAAACATTTTTAAACCTGGAAACAATAGACTATTTTAATATTTTACCAAAAATATTGATTTTATCTTGTTTTTGTCCAGAATGAATTTCTTTCAAGAGAACTAATTGAAAAAGGAAGAGATTTAGAAAGAAGTAAGACAGTAATAACTAAATTTCAAAATAGATGTAAGTTACTGTTCTCACTTATTTTTCTGTATATTTATTGCTCATATACCAAAAACTAATCAGTCTGGAAGTTATTTAATACAAGCTTTGTTACTCTTTATTATCTGTTATTACCTTCATAATCTGTATAGTTCATTCTCTGCTGTTCATGTAGTTGGTTTGCCTCTTTTTCATTGTCAGAAAATGATGTTCTAAATTTTTTGTGTGGGTGTTTGCTTAGCTTTTCTCTTGTGTTCTTAAGTGAAGATAAAGTGAGAAAACTTAATTTAAAGAAATAGGTCTGTCATTCACCTAAACTATTCATGTTGGTTAATACTTGAATTTCTTTGTATATTTAAGTTTAAATTTTGCCAGTCATTATTTTTTCTATGTGTTAAATATTTGTCATCTTTATAGAATTATATAAATTGTATAAAAGATATATTTATTCAATGAGAAAAATGTACTTGCAGTAAAAGAATTAGTAGAAGAAAATAAACAGCTTGAAGAAGGTATGAAAGAAATATTGCAAGCTATCAAGGAAATGCAGAAAGATCCTGATATTAAGGGAGGAGAAACATCTTTAATTATCCCTAGTCTTGAAAGACTAGTTAATGTAAGTTATTCTTTTCATGTTAACATAGGTCTTCATGTACTCTACTGCCACTTTAAAGTTAATATTTCACTTCATGCTGGTCTCCATGGTTTCCACTGAGATATTTAGTCATTTGATCATTGTTTCTGTCTGTGTGGGCTGTATCTTTTCTTAGGCTGCTTTTAATGCTTTTTCTTTGTTTTGGATTTTTGTCAGTTTAGGTATAACATATGGAAGGGTGTGTCTGTCTGAGTATATATGTGTGTGTGTGTATCTTGTTCCTTGCTGAGCATCTCGAATTACTAACTACAGTTGTGAAGATTTCCCCTCTCTCATTCCCTCCTCCCTCCCTGCCCCCTCCCCTTTTGTGCAGTACTTGGATTAACCCCAGGGCCTTAGCACTGAGCTACATCTCCATCCCTTAATTTATTTTTTGTTTTTGTTTTTTGGTTTTGTTTTTTGTTCGAGATAGGGTCTTGCTAATATGCCCAATTTAGTCTTGAACTTGTAATCCTTTTGCTTCTGTTTCCTATTATGTCTTCAGTTATTTTTCTTCCCTTTCTCTGTTTCCAATGATAGATATGTTTTAGTATCTTCTCATGAGTCTGTAGGCTCTGTTTTAGTTTTTACTGGAATATTTTATCTTTTTTCTATCAATTATTAATGATCAATATTAATATCAATATTAATATTATCAATATTAATATATCAATTATTAATATCACTTTTAATATCAATATCAATATTAATGATCTGTCTTCAGGTTTATTTTCACTTCCCTCCTGGTTCATGGATAAGCCTGAGACCTGGGCAGGTTATTTTTTTTTTGGTACTGGGAATCGAACTTGGGTCCTTGCGCTTGCAGGCAGTGAAATCACTGAGCTAAAAATCCCTGGCCCAACCTGGCAGTTTTTAACAAAGAATTTAGAACTTGTTTTGCTGGCTCTCTTCTTCCTGAGATTTCCTCCTTAAATTTCACATAGCTTTGGGCTCTTATCCCATAGTTTCTAGACCAGAAAGATTATAGATTACTGCAACTGCAGCCGACCCTCCCACTAAAGCTATAAAAATTCTTTTCCACCCTGTTTATATTTTGTTCATTTTCTAGAACCTTTAGGGTTGTTTTAAAGTTATTTTACTTTAAAGTATAATACAGTGACTTTACTTTAAATATTTAAATACCTATTACTTTAGGAAAGATTTGAGCCATTAAGTAATATCCTACTTATATTTACCATGCAAAAAATGAACAGTTCTGCAACATTGTGTCAGTTACATAAATTTGAATATAGTATATATTTTACATAAATATTTATATCATATTATCTGAATATATTTAACACGCGTCACTAAATTCAAAATTTTTATTGGATTTAAATAGAAGAAATCTTTTTTTGGGGGGGGTTTTTTGAGACAGGGTGTCAGTGTTGGGATTATAGGCTTGTGCCACCACGCCCGGCATAGAAATTTTGTTTTTTTGATTTTTTTTTTTTTGGTACCGGGGATCGAACTCGGGACCTTGCGTTCACAAGGCAGCTGGCGGAACCACTTAGCTAAATCCCCACCCCGTAATCTTACTCTTTTAAAATTGTGATTAATGAGTAGTTGAATTTTTTTCTATAAAAATACTATAGTTCTTCCAGAGAGGGAAAGTGATACTGGTATGATAATAGCTTCCTAAAGCTACAAAATTATTTGCCAAGATTTACGCAGACTACCTGACTTTCACAAGGCAGCTGGCGGAACCACTTAGCTAAATCCCCACCCCGTAATCTTACTCTTTTAAAATTGTGATTAATGAGTAGTTGAATTTTTTTCTATAAAAATACTATAGTTCTTCCAGAGAGGGAAAGTGATACTGGTATGATAATAGCTTCCTAAAGCTACAAAATTATTTGCCAAGATTTACGCAGACTACCTGACTTCTTTTATATCTTGATTCTGACTTTTTTCCCTGGCTGGTGACTTTATTTTGCCTCAGTTTTGAGTGTCTTAATATAGTTGTTCATGCTTTTTATGTAACAACCTTTCGTCTGTGATGCTTCCCACTACTGATCCATATTCCAAGTCAAACTTCATTCTCCAAAGGAAATTCTACTTAGCGACCAAATAAAAGCAGAACAAGATAGCTCCGCAAAGTCCTGCCTTCTATTTCTATTGCCAATTTCTGTTTCATGCACTTTAGTTCACTTTCTGTTACTATGTCGTATTTCTTGGTGCCCCACATCACTAATTCAATCTTGCTTTAGCTGAAAGCCATATAAATACAAACATCATAATACGGTTCTCCAGTGACAACTAGTCTACCTTGCTGTCAGTCAGAGTACCTCCCTATGTCTTCTATCTTTCTGGTATCTCCTTTGAATTAATATAGTTTAACTGTTCTGCATGGCTTACTCTGAATTCCTTCAGGTGAAGGATTAGTTTAAAAATCAGCTGCCTGGGCTGGGGATTTAGCTCAGCGGTTCCGTGGCCTGCCTTGCAAGTGCAAGGACCCGAGTTCCAATCCCCAGTACCAGAAAAAAAAAAAAAAAAAATCAGCTGCCTGGATTTAAGCCCTACATCACCCTCTTAATGAGATTATATTTGGATTTTACTGATTCTGTCTTCTCTTCTGCCTTAAGTTCTGGAGTTTATATTGCATCAAATAGTTTTGCTTCATACAATATTTTTGAGGTTCAAAGAGTCATAAATAAGACATTGAAATACCATGTTTTGTTACTAGACATAAGATTGACATAAGAAATGATTAAATATCACAAAAGGCAAAATTTTGTTTACTCTGATTTTATTGTTTTTCCTTGTATTATATCCTCTACAAATACTCTAGGCTATAGAATCAAAGAATGCGGAAGGAATCTTTGATGCCAGTCTGCATTTGAAAGCCCAAGTTGATCAACTTACTGGAAGGAATGAAGAATTAAGACAAGAGCTTAAGGAATCTCGGAAAGAAGCTATGGATTACTCACAGCAGTTGGCAAAAGCAAATTTAAAGGTGAGAATTTTATGAAAGAAAAGAAAACACTAAGCAAAAAACATATGTATAGAAGAAAAAAAAATTTAGCTTCTTTGTGAGCAAATCTCCCTTGAATTAATTACTTCAACATTAAGAAGACTTTCAATTTTTCTTACAAAATAAAATGGAAAAATAAGTGCCTTGTAATATAAAAAAAGAGCAAAATCATTCTAAGTCTTAGTCATTATAAAAATTAGAGTATTATTTCATTCTTGTTAGGACAGTCGCTTATCTACTTTTAAAAAATACTCAGTTGAAGTAGTATAAAGTGTAAGTTGATGGCCAGAGATTTAGCTCAGTGGCACTATACCTGCCTTGCAAGCACAGGGTCCTGAGTTTGATCCCCGGTACCAAAAAAGAAAGGAAACATATAAGTTATTGCTTTTCAGGTTGTCTTTGGATATAAGAGATGTGGTTCTCATCCCTGTCTTACTTGTTTACAGATAGATCATCTTGAGAAAGAAACCAGTCTTCTAAGGCAATCGGAAGGATCTCATGTTGTTTTTAAAGGGTTAGACTTACCGGATGGGGTCGCACCATCAAGTGCTAGCATCATTAATTCTCAGAACGAGTATTTAATACATCTCTTACAGGTACTGAGCATTTCAAATGTAAATAACAAAAATCATTGATTGTTATGTTTCTTAATTTATTCTTTAGATATTCCTTTGAATATTCCTCTGAATATTAATAGTGAGACATTATTAAAGGATTATGATATTAATGAAATAGTATAAAGACAGTTTATTCCATTTATCTAAATTTAAAGTATGTTCACATATCTTATTCATAAAAAATATATGATTGATGTGTAGAACAACAAGCAGCTACTATAAAGTAGTGAATGTGAATAAGATGAGTACTTGTCTTTACTGGTTAGAAAAGGAGGGACTGAGACTAAATTCCTAGTCTGATGCAGTTCTTTTTAGTGTTATGATTAGAATTGTTTCCTTTTGTATGTTAACATTAAACAAATCTAGGCCAAATTGTTTATCTTTTTCTTTCCTTTACCTATAAATTTTAGTTAATCCATTAGAAAATTAGAGAGGGTACTTTGTTACACAACTTGCCCTGTGTTTTTTTTTTTTTTGTTTGTTTTTCTTTTTTCTCAGTTTTGCTGTTTACATCATAGGCACTGTGAATAAATAGCCTAATGCATGGCTTTCCAGCCTTTTGTCTTGCCTGGCCATGTTAAGTGAAGATGAGTTATCTTGGGCTGCACACAAAATATATAATACAGCTAATGTATATGTCACAAAAATCTTATATAACTTACTAAGATATTTTATGAAGTAACACAAGAAATCTTAAGTTTGATAATTAAATAAGAAAATCCTTAACGATTTGCATGTCTGCCTAAGAAGAATATATGCCTGTCTTCGCAGGCCCACACACATGTAGGTGGGTTGAAATACTATTGTTGTAATCATTGCATTTTATTTGTTATGCCACATGAACGTGTGAGGTCTAAAAGACATGGGTTTTGATTTGAGTGACTGTGTGGTAGCCACAGGTGGAAATGGCACTGAATGCTACACCCTCTCCCCTACACAGCATTATACCATCATAGGCTACCCTCAGCACTCTACAATTGAGTCTTGAAAAATATTGTTAAAACTGTATGCTTGCAGGCCATAGATTGAGAATGTCCGGCCTACTAAGAGATGGCTTTTCATTATGTGAAATTTGAATACTATCAGCACCACATACACCACAAATATAATTAGAAAATTGTGTTCAGAAGCAGTGAAAAGATGTGTTTTTATTATAAGCACCTCTGTTGCCTTCTGCTAGATTATCCATAAATGAAATACTTGAGTTAGACTTGTCAAATACTTGCTTTTGTAATTTGAAATTACATTATTGTTTTCTCAAATATTGGAATTTGTGTCTTATCCCAGTAAGGTAGGGACAACCTCAACTATCAGATCATTGCTTTATAATTCAGGTTGTATCATCACTTTTATTCATTTATTACCTTTACTTTTATAGCACTCTGATTTAGTTTTGTGCAAAACTGGCACTTTATTAATAGCTAATGGCAATATAGCATTGTCTTTTTATCTTTTTTTTTTTTTTTTTTTGTGGTACCTGGGATCAAACTCAGGACCTTGAACTTACCAGGCAGGTGTGGCACCACTGAGGTACATCTCTGGCCCAGCACTATCATTTTGAGATAAGATTTTGATTTTCATATTTATATTAAAATAGGAAAAACATCATGGTAGATTAAGGAACGCTGATAGGGACTCTAAAACTGTCCAGGTGACAAAACACATCTTTGAGTCTGAATCCTAAGGCAGGAGAAAGTGATAGAAGTGACTTCGAATGAGACAGTTCTGGCCTCAGCTGGTGGATCTGAATCTGTGCACCTAGCCTGGCATATATTCCTGAGAGAACATTGCCAAATAACAGTGCAGTGAGTTTTTTAGTACGTTATGTAATCTTTTAAAGTCTCAATTTCTTTATTTTTAAAATGTAATAATTTGAGTGGAGGCATGAAAGTATATGTTCACAAAATGAGCAATTGGAGGTGACTGTAGATTTTTTTGTTGTTGTTGGTAACTGTTCTTCTAAGTAATTTATATGCTTATTTTAACCATCCTATTTGATAAAAGTACTTTTACGTGTTTTATAGTACTCTCTTAATGTGTGTTCCCTCATTTCATATGCCTTCTAAAATGTTCAGAATATATTGAGTCATCATATATTATCCCATTAATATATATTGTTTTCTAGTATTTTTATGTGTCAATTAAAAATAATTTATTTAAGCTGGGTGTAGTAGCACAAATTTGTAATTCCAGCACTCTGGGAAGCTAAGATAGGAGAATTACAAACTCAAGCCAGCTTGGGCAACCTTGTGACTTGGTGAGACCCTGTCTCAAGGTAAAATAGGGGTGAGTTGGGATGTAAGTCAGAGAGAAGACCCTAATTTTAATCCCCTATACCATTTTATTTATAAATAAATAAAATAATCAGTTAATTAAAATATATAAATTGTTCTGCTTATAAATTTTGTGACTTTCTTTCATATATTATTCTATGATTTTGTTAGAATGTAAATTTATACCTTCAAAATCCAGTTGTTCTGATGCTTTTAAGTCTTATTTCTAATCCAATTTTTAGGAACTAGAAAATAAAGAAAAGAAGCTAAAGAATTTAGAAGATTCTCTTGAAGACTATAATAGGAAATTTGCAGTAATTCGTCATCAACAAAGCTTATTATATAAAGAATATCTGAGGTATAATGATTAACAAAGCTTGACAAATTTACTGTAGTATATTCTTATTTGTAATGAAATTAACATGAAAATAATTTACATATTTTGATTTTCTCTTCATTTCTCCTCCTTCGACCCCTCACTCCAATTGGTAACTTTTGCTAAGAGTATGATTTTAAATATATAGTATAATTTTATTGATCAAAAGCCCATCCACGTCCTGGGATTTTTCAGCCTGGCTTTGAACTAGACTTTAACATTTGCTAATTAGAAAATCTTGAGCAAGTTGCTTTACCAATCTGTTTCTTTTTTTGAAAAATTCTGACAATGATAGCTTTTTCATAAGGTTGTTATGAAATTTAAATAAATTATTACATGAAAATGTAAGATGAGTGCATGTGCATGACATGTAAGAATTCTTAGCAAATGTCATCATTAACATCACTCTTCATCACTACCATCATGATATATATTTACAGAGAACAACATATTTCTTGTTATCTGCCATCTTAATCAATATCAATAGAATGATTTCCTTAGTAGGAATCAGAATTATCTAGTAATGGTGATTTAAATCTGTTCTGACAAGAAACCCAAGCTAGTTAGATGGTAAGTAATATTTATGTAGTATTGTTAACTCCTATGATGGTTATAAAAGAGTTGTAGAAGTTCATGGAAATGGAGCCATATCCAGTGAAGAACATTTTTTTTGTATAATTTTTTAGTTGTAGATAAGAATTTTTCTGGAGACAACTGTCACTCTGGTTTTCATAGCCTGTCGGGTTGCATATCTAAGGTTCATCCATTCAATAACAAAGAAAATGATCCCACCATGATTGGCAGAGTAGATTAAAAGTGATTGTAGAACATCTTTACTATAAGCAACAATTTCTTAGGCACTTTCTAAAGAAATAAATTTGTCCATATATTTTACTTTTTTCACCTACAAGTTAAACTTTTCTGTATTTATGGAATATAACATGATACTTTGATATATATAGATTGTACAGTGGCTAAATTAAGATATTTAACATATATAGCACCTCACATGCTCTTTTTTTGTGGGGAAAACATTTAAAATCTTAGTAATTTTGAAGTCTAAACTATATTGTTATTAACTCCTGTCACTATGATGTACAATAGCTTTCTTGAACTTACTGCTGTCTAACTGAAATTTTGTGTCATTTTATATTTAAGTCTGATGACTTCTAATATTGTAGTCTTGAGTATTTTGTGAGTAGTCAGTACTTATATTTAATATTAAGCTTAGAAGTTGAGACTTGATTTCCAGAATTAGCTGTTAGTTTAATGACTCCACTAGAGTCATTATTCTCTTGGATCAACTTTGACCCCTTTAAAGACAGCTATTATGTATGTTTGGTAAGAACCCATTGGTCTTTGTATCAAGTTTCAAACCTTGTATATTTTTCTTTCATATGTTGTAGACTTACCTTGGATACTTCTTATCCAGGGTTGGGATGATGCATTATATTATAATCCTTTTAGAGTGATTAATCAGGGAAGGTTGAAAATAATTTGTTAAAGTTTGTAACCTTCCATTTACTTAAATAATTATCTTGTGTGTTAGATACTGAGTAGCTAAGGTGTCTTTTGTGTTAGGGAATCATTACATTTCCATTATCTAAAGTTAGCTCTTGTCATGGTACCACATTTTACAAGGTTTGATGCTTTGTCTTTTGTTGTTGTTGTTGCTTTGCTCTTTTTAGTGAAAAGGAGAACTGGAAAACAGAATCTGAAACAATAAAAGATAAAAAGAGAAAACTTGAGGATCAAATCCAACAAGATGCTATAAAAGTAAAAGAATATAACGTAAGTAAAATACTTTAAAAATTGGTATACAATAGCGTATAAACTAGAATAGCTAGGCTCAATAAGTAACATCAACATGTTTTTGCAGAATTTGCTCAATGCTCTTCAGATGGATTCAGATGAAATGAAAAAAACACTTTCAGAAAATAGTAGAAAAATCACTGTCTTGCAAGTGAATGAAAAGTTACTTATAAGGCAATATACAGCTTTAGTAGAAATGGAACGACAACTTAGAAAAGAAAATGGAAAACAAAAGAAAGACTTGATGTCAATGGAGGCCGAAGTTTGTGAAAAAATTGGATGTTTACAAAGATTTAAGGTATTTTTTATTATTTTGGTTTCGATTAAAACAAATTTATTTATTTGTTTATTTGTTTGTTTATTTATTTATTTATTATGGTACCAGGGATCAAACTCGGGACCTTGCACTTGCCAGTCAGGCAGTGGAACCACTAAACTAAATCCCTGGCCAGACTAAAAATTTTAAATGTGCAGAAGATAAGATAGATTCATGAACTTCCACTGTCAGCATTATTAGTAAATATTTATTAACATTTGTCATATTTACATCAGCTTTTTATAGGAGTATTTAAATTACAGATATGTCTCCCCTAAATAATTCTGTGTGCATCCCAGTGTACACAGCCCTTCTTGTAAACCACAATAGCTTTCTCTTACCTGAAAAATTGACGGTAATCTTTTAATTTACTTAATGCCCAGACTATTTCCTTAGTTGTACCTATTTCCAGTCAAGAGTCATGCTTTTAATGAATTTGGGTGTTATAGATTATAGATCTTTGTAGTATAGAATCCTCCTTTCTTTCTCTAAAAAATGTTACATTTATCTGATTTGTGTGTGTGTGTGTCGTGATTTTCTTGTTTCTTTGTGTAGTATGTTTACTAAAAGCTCTAAGGCCTCTGTTAGATTCAAGTTAAACATTTTTTGGCAGTAATCCTTCATAAATAATATTTTATACTATACAGTGTATTGCATTACTTTGAAACATACATTGATTGTGTTAAGTTTTATGATTGATACTGTTAAGAAGACAGCCATACACTGCTGTGCCTCCTACTAAGTGATTTAATAAACCATTTGGTGATATTTGGTGCCATGTAAATAACGAATCCTCATGATGATTTTAGCATCCGCTGATAATTGTTGTTTGACTCAAATACTTCATTGAGAATTTCAAAAATTATTATTTTTCAGGTTATATTTTGCTTTATTAGCAGTATTCTTTTGTTCTGATTTTAGTATTTTTGCTGTCAAACTGAACACAGTAGGTATCCTTCTGTACACTAAAGAGCTTTTTCTCATTAGCCCCCATTATTTGGTTATTTTATAGTTCCTCATTGTTTCTTTTGAATTACCAGCTTTCAGAACATAGTTTATGTGCTCTGCTCTTTCTGTTCTTCCCACTGAACTTTCACTTCTTTGGTTATGAGCAGACTCACAGACTTTTAAGTATTCATTGTGTTTTGTTCAGTTGAAGTCATTATTCTTTTGTCTTAACTTAGACTGGAAAGAACCTTTGCAAGTTAACTCATAGATGCATGTATTATTTTGACAATAATCCTTTAATCTTTGAACCAAACTTCACAGCTACTCATAAAACAAAATGTTTTAGATGTGCCTTTGCACTTCTTACACAGATGTGAAACAAACAGTTTTTCTAAAGAGGTGTGGTTCTTTCTAGAAGGGAAAGCAATTAGATAGAAAAACTGGTCACTAGGAGTCATTGCCCTGGGAATGTCCTTGCTTAGTTCTTTTCAATGGACAAGTTAAGACATTTATGTATATTTAAACTAAGAGTTCATTTTGTTACTTCCAAGTAATGTCGATTTTTTTTTTTCGAAATCACAAATTTTGTACTTATATTTTTTAAATAGAAATTTCTGGGTATTAACCTTAAAATGATTATTTTTTAATTCAGGCAATGTGCCTTTTATTTTGCAGTATTATTTATTTGAACACATACATACATACACACACACACACACATTCATTTGAAAATAATAATTAAAACTACTGTATTTACCCTACACCTTTAGCCCTTTACTTCCTATTGCACATTATTAATTATCTCATTAGGATCCTGTGTACTCTTATAGTTTTTCACACCAAAGAAACTATTCTGTATTTCAGTTAAAGAAATCTCCGTATGAACATTAAAAATAGGGAATCCTAAAATAAAACTAAAAAGGAAAGTAAAAGAGAAAAGGCAATGATGTAGTGGGAAGGGTGGGGGAAAGGTAATAAGGGAGAGGAAAAAAATATGAGAAACTGAAAAAATGGAAACAAAGTGTTTGTAAATGGGGAGGGGAGGGGGGTGAAGGGAGGGCAGGGACAAGGGGAAAAAATGAGAATCAAGACCTATTATGTAAAGGTACAGAATCCCAATGATGAATGTAACTGTATTGTATACCTAGATTGTACCAATAAACTCAATTAAAAAAAAAAAACTACTGTATTTAAGATTTCCTTACAGTTCTTATTTTTTTAGAGTGTATCTCACTAAGAATGTGCAGGCAAAGTAACATATTCTACAGTTGCTTAAAATGTTTCTTTTCAGGTAGTTATATCATTCACTTGGTATATAATTAGGCTTATTTATTTTCCACTGTTTTCAATTTTAGGAATTAACTCTTCTTTTTATTGAATTTGAATGTAAAACATTTAAATTTTCAAAAGATTTAATTCATTTTAGTGTGATCTGAAAGCTGAATTCTGATGCATCAAGAACTGTGTTAAAGTAGGAAAATTTTGGACATGGACTAAGCAAATTTTTACATGTAGAAAATAGCCTTGTATTTATTTTTATAGTTCTTTTTTAAGAAAATACTTTGATGCTTGAGGTAGAAAGGAGAAAAGAACTTGAGTTTTCTTCCTCATCAACTTGATTTTTCAACCTGTATTTTGTTTGCATGTGTTTATGTGTAAGTGTTCAAAAGCTAAAAAGACAAACAACCATGTATTTTTAAGGGCGAGGAAATAGAATACTGTTTACCCCTATATTTCCCACCTTTTCCCCGCTCCCCAAAATGAAATCAAATTCCCAAGGGCAAAGTAGAATTTTGTGTGCCTGTGCAGATGAAGAGAGAAGCGGTGGCAATGAGATCGGAAGCACCATGACAAGGATTTTTTTCACCATTCCTGTACTTCAGAATGAATTATGACCATGTGTCGTTTATTGTCCTCACATCATAGATATGAGTATCCATTACTCCTCTTCTTAGTAAGCTTCTATCACTTTCCTTTACTTGTCCATGTAAGGTTTGCTTATCACAAAGAAATGTTTTTGATGTAGACCTCTAAAAGTTCAGACATTTTGGTGTTAATATTTATATTTCAATGTCTTTGATTAGTGGCTTTTTATAGTTTGAGAGCAGCTGAGTAGAACATTATGTTATCAGCTTTCCATTACTATAACAAATAACCTGAGATAAGTCAACTTAAAAAGAACAAAGATTTATTTTTGCTCAGTTTTAGAAATTTCAGTATACAACTATGGGCCCTTTTTATTTGAGACTATAGTGGCCTGGTGAGAACATAATGCTTTCTAGGAAAAAATCTACCAACATAACTCAGTATGTTCTTCTTTACATAGGAAATGGCCATTTTCAAGATTGCAGCTCTCCAAAAGGTTATAGATAATAGTGTTTCTTTGTCTGAACTAGAACTGGCCAATAAACAATATAATGAACTGACTGCTAAATACAGGGACATCTTGCAAAAAGATAATATGCTTGTTCAAAGAGCAAATAACTTGGAACACCTAGAGGTAAGTTTGTATGATTCTTGAACCTTGTGATATTAGCGGTTTTTGTATAGTCATTTTGTATTTCTGAGGATTTTGCAGATTTTATTAAAACTTGAGTCTATGTAAATTTAAGAGAGGTACAATTTTTTTGTATTTTGTTCTGGAATATTAGTATACGTGAACACACATATATTATCTATTTATAATTGCAGAATGATTTCTGCATGACTCACTGGTATGATACAGTTGAATGAACCTTATTTCAGGCATGCAGTGTCAAAAGGAGCACAAAACAGAGAGTGTATTATAATCAAAGGAGGAAGTGTCATTAAATAACTGTCCTTTTCCCCTCCCTGTTTTTGGAGGAGACCCTTCTCTCATGGTTCCTGAATTCTTTTTCTTTGGATGGACTTAGAGAGTAGATGACATATTCATGTCTTTTCTTGGATTGTGGATGAGCTCTATAAGTCCCCATCCTTTCTTATCGTAGAGCTATAAAAAAGTAGGGTACAGTATCCAAAGTTTCAGTCAAACTGTGAATATGGCCAGGTAGTAGTAGTTTTCTTGTAGCCACTTGACCTCTATGCCTTTTACAGTAGGCAGACAAGCTCCTGATATGTTCATCTTCTTTATCAGAAATAGAGGCTTATGTCTATTGACTTATTCTCTTTTGATGCTCATACACAACTGAGATAAGAAATAGTTTGTTAGTTCAAGAGCTTTTGCTTGTTTAGGAGGTCATATTGAGTAAATGAAAACAATCTGAAAAACTTTTAATGATTGCTACAAAATTATCTGAGTTATGTATTAATAATAATACTTTAATCACTTTTAATCATAATCACTGTATTGTGCTTTTATAGAAAATTATGACTTTAAATGTGGTAATAATTTATTTTCATTTTCACTTTCTTGTTCTCTCAAGAAAATCTAGGGAAAAATCTAGATAACATATCAATGAGTACTTTTTATTTTATTTGTTACCCTAAGGAATATTTTTCATCTTTCCTCAAAATTTAAAAAGATTTAAAAGACTAAGGGTTACTCACCAGGGTTGGAATCATCCGAAAGGAAATTCACTCTCACCTCTGGCATCTAGGCTGGTGTCTCAGGCTGATTCTCACCTGGGCTTGTTTACCAGTGTCTGTCTGTGACTTCTCCACATATTTGAGCTTCCTCACAGCATGACAATATTAGAATAGTTGAATTTTTCACCTGGCTACTCAGGACCACTTCTAGTGTTTCAGTGAACAGATGAACATTGCCTTGCCTTCTGTGACTTAGCTTTGGAAGTGACATAGTTTCACGTATTGCTTAAAGTAGTCACAGGCTTTCGAGACCAAATGAAAGGCAACATAGCCTTAACTGGCTAATGGGAGTCAGAGAACTAGTATTGGCAAGAGTATGGGACATGTAGAGTTGGCGGTAGCTGTCAATCAGCCAGGAAGACATGTCCTTGAAAAGACATATTGTCAAAGAATTGTGGCCCTATTTTTTAAAACTATCATAGCCTTTTCAAGGCTAATACTCATTATCTGATTCCCATTAGCCAACTAAGAGAACTATTTGTTGTACTGTATCTTTTTCTGTTTGCATATTTGTTACAATTCTAAGCGTCACTCTCTCTCTCTTCTGACCCACCTTCATTGTCCTTGTCTTAATTTTATTCTTCGTTATTGTTATTTTGGTAGCCATTACTTACATGTCCATCTCTAATCTTTATCCTCCTCATTGCCACTAGAATAATCAAGTCACATGAAAAGTATAAGTCAACTTTCTTTTATAATATGTTCCTTACTTAGGTCATCTTGTTCTAAGGAATTTCAGAATTTGTTTTAGAAACTGAACTACCAACTTTCTGTACCAGTGTTCTTTTTTACCTATGTGCTTTTGTACCTGCTCTATTTTCTAGCTAACATTCCCCTCTTCCAATTTTCCCATTTATTTGCACAATGAATCTTTATTCGTATTTTAAAACTTTGTTCAGCCATTACTTTTTATCAGAAACATCCTTCTTTATGGAATAAAGTCACTCTTCTGTCTGAATTACTTCTGTATCTTGTTCATAGTTCTGTTATTTGTATCTCATTGGGCTTGATATGTTTATGTATCTACCTGCTTTTCTGGAATAAAATACTCATGGTATATAAAACTTTTCTTTAATTCATTACTATGTATTTGCAGTCTCCCAGTTGACACAGAGTTAGAGCTAATATGTGTTGACCTGCAAGAGTGATGAGTGACAATAACTCTGTATTGCAAAGGTTATCAGTAATGATTTGGAAATTATTGATGTCTTTTATGAATAAAACTTCATGAGAATAGAGGCGATAGAAATCAGATTTCATAATGTAGAGAAGAGAGTAGATGATATAGAAATATAAAACCTGAATGGATTGTAGTCATTTTGTAGACATAATGAGGGAGGAGGTAGGGAGGGGAAGGAAAAGGAATGGGGAAAAAAAGGATTTGGGGGGGGAAAATGATGACAGTTGAGCTTTTACAAATGGGAAGAGAACCAAGAGTTAGAAGGGGCAGGAAGAGAGAAGAAGGATAAAAGATAAAGAAAAAAAAAAAGATGTACTATGTACATGTCAACTCCCGATGATAAATATAATCATACTGTAAACATGTACTAATAAAAAATAAAAATATTAAAAAGTGAAAAAAACCTGAATAGATAAGGCTTTAGAAGAACCAGAAATTTGATAATAGATGAAAAGGGAAATGGCCATGGATAGGAATAGAGAAGAGGAATAGGATTTATTTTTTCCAAAAATTTATAGGAAACTGGTAAAGTTAGGAGGGGGAATGAGAATGAAAATTTAGAGTTAATAGTGAGAGACTCAAGATTTTAAAATCTTGTAAGCAAAAATATCTGGAACAAAATCAGTATTACCCTGTGATGCATGATAAAAGCTAGAAAGAATGGCTAAAAAGATATTTTAGACACCCTCAGGTCTCTTTTCCTTATGTTTTTACACTATTGGAAGCTAGATCAAAGTGCAGTTTACCAGAAAATTACATTTTTTTCCCTTTATTCTGCTAGTTTCATCGTAACATTTCCTTTAAGTCTCATTACCTTGTTTGTACTATTCTTCATAGCACTTGATTCCTGACGTTATATAGTGGCTTATTTTCTAGTTATACCACTAAAATATAACTTTTGAGAATTAGCATTCCAAGAGTTTTGAATTTGGAGCATTTCAGATTTCATATTTTCAGATTGATAGTAAAGTCTATTTAAATATTTTCTACAATAGTAAAGTCTATTTAAGTATTTCAAAATACGAAAAATTCCAAAATCTAAAACATTTTTGTCCCCAAACATTTCAGATAAAGGCATAATTTCTTCACTCTTATTTTTGCTCCCTCTGATACTCCAAATGTTTTCCTTCTTCAGACCTTTTTTCCCTTGCTGATCTTCCTGTATTTCAAACCCTTTGTTGCTTTACAACATACTGGTTTCCCAGCACATCAGCTGTTTTCATGGCCAATTTCTTGTTAAGACTGGGTTTTGTACCTTAGCTTTTAAACCACCTCTTTGGTGATTAAGACCTTCCTCAGTCACATTTTTCTAGATCTATTTCCTTATATTATTTTTGTGCCTCAGTACCTTATTTTTCTTTTCTCCCCCTAGGTCTTGAAGTTTTTAATGGATTTTTTGTCTATTTACATATTTATCTTATCTTTCACACCCTCCCCAAATCCTGCCATATGCGCATACATAGATACTAAATGGAGAAGCCTGTGAAAACCAGAATTTTGTTTTCCTCTTCACTGTGAACATCCATCACCTGTCACTGATAATAACATGTTAAGATGCTGAGTAACTGTAGTAATGAGAGAAATAAATACAAATTTGTGAAGATGGTAGAATCTCTGAGTATCTAAATTGATCAAAATGAGCATACAGTTTTAATGGCAGAGGGTAATAGGGTAAGAGCCACATATTAGATACAAGAGAGTTTGGTGATCATTCAAAGGCAATATTTTATAAGAGATACACATCTGTGTGGGGTATGAGTATGTATATTCTATAACTGGGGAATTCTACTTTGTACAATGCCAGATTGTGAATTTTAGGAGACATTGCATAAAGTCAATATAGTGGCATTTCTGTGGTATTGATCTGAATTATAGTATAATTTATCTGCGATGTGTCTTTTATTCAGTGTGAAAATGCATCCTTAAAAGAACAGATTGATTCTCTAAATAAAGAACTGGAGATTACCAAGGAAAAACTTCATACTATTGAACAAGCCTGGGAACAAGATACTCAATTAAGTAAGTATTAATTATGCTCATAGTATAAAATGCTTAGGAGCTAATAATTAATGTTTTTCCTTTAAAATTTTTCTATGCTAAATGAAAAGGCAGTATTTAATTGAAAAAATAAACTCTTCCTAATGGTTCAATTAATAGACAGTTAATGAATACTAGCCTGAACAAATCTCCATCAAAATTTGATTTTTGGTTCTTAAATTAGATTTATTCCCAATAAAATCATATATATTAAAATTTTATGACTAAGCATTAGCTATTTTGAATCATTTATCAATCAAGATTAGTGATAATTTTGAATAACCTGTATTTTAATAGTAGTATTGAGTTCTTTCTACAGCGTGATGTTATACTAGTTATATATCATTTGATATTTTTACACTAAAAGATCACCATAAACATTAAAGAAAATTTTAAAAGAATGTTCTGCCCATAGTCCCACAACTGTATTATCAAATTTTTGCTTAGATAGTATATTTTATATTCTTCATAATAAATGTTATGTTCAACTGTATTCATGAGGTTTTTATCAAATATTACCATGTTTTATTTATCATACTTGTAAATGTTCATGCAATATCCTATTGTTAGAGTGATTATAGTTAGATGACTAGCTTTTATTTATTTTTGTTATGGTTTATGGACTTGCATTCAATATCTTCATATATATTGAATAGAGATATTATAGTCCCAGAAGATACTGAAATGTTTGTGGCTAATGGTATTGAAATCTTTGGGCTTTTGCTAGGGTTTTCCATATCAGTTTTTTAAGTGGTTACCCTAGTTTGCATCATTTGAATAATTTTATCTCATAGCATTGTGTTTTGTAAATGTTGGATCAGTTTGCTGCTGTGGGTAAGGTATTTTTGTTTGTTTCTTATACCTTAGTGCTATAATGCTCTTCTTCAGTGTTTCTGTTACTAAATATAGAGCTGTTTTATTAAGTTGGTGATTGATGCATTTGGTTTAAAGAAACGTAACATTGGTAATTTAAAGATAAGTTACTTTTAGAAATGTAAATTTTAATTTAATGAGATACTAATTATGTATCCCCTACATAAGGAAGGTATTTAAAATGATAATCGCAAATGTTTAAAATAATTTAAATTAATTTCAGTAAAAGATACATTGCCATTAATTTACCTCAGAATTCTCCCCTTCTCTTTGAACACTTATTCCATCTTTGCTACTTTCTAAAGCTGTCCTATTTTATGTCTTTATAAGGTGGGATCAAATATATGGTTAATGCCACTGCTCAGTGCCATCCAGTGAAAAGGAAGACACACACACACAAAAAATATGATGTGTCCTCATCCACTTTATTCACCAGATCTGTTACAGTGCAACTTCTGGCACTTCTCCAAAGTCAAAATGACCATGAAATGTAAACTTTTCAAATAGATTCAGGATATCAAGGCAGTCACTATAGTGTAAATAAAGACACAGAAAGAGAACTTCCAGAACTGGCTCAAAGGTGGCAAGAATGGCCAGGCATGGTGGTGCATGCCTGTAATCCCAGCACTTGGGAGGCTGAGGCAGGAGGATCACTGCAAATTGGAGGCCAGTGTGTGCTACATAGTGTTGTAGTAAGGGTTAATGCCAAGCTACTTGGTGCATCACTTAGGGTGAGACTCAATCCATGAAAAGAGTCACACCACGCCACATGAAAGTGTAAGTAAAGATAGCTTTATTACATTGTTAAGCAATAAGAATATTAAAAAGAAACTACAACAGATAGCAGTAATACTTCACCAGCCAGGGTAGTGCCTCAACACTGGAGGACAACCCAAGATCGCAGTTGGTCAGGGTCCTGCTGGGCAGAATTCCTGCAGGCAGTTCTAGTCTCCCAAAGCTCCCTTTTCCCCTGCTAGCATGTGAATCCCGTTACACAAAAGTGGCCTCATGCCAATATGGCCTATGTGTCTTAGAAGGAGTCTGCTCTCGGATCTGGCTGGGAGCCAGGACAGAGTCCTTTTACCAAATATTTTAGATTAAGGTGTTTATGCCCTCAAGGGCAGACTCTTGGAGGGTATCCAGCCTTCCTTGAGCCCGGCACATATAAGAGTACACTTTGGTCACATAAATCTCAGTAACTTTTTCTATACTTCCTTGACATAGTGAGTTCAAGGCCAGCCTGAACTGCATAGTGAGACCCTGGCTCAAAAAAAAAAGAAAAAAAAAATACTGGCAAGAATGATGAAGCAAGTATATTTGGAGCATTCTGGAGTAATTTGAGGGGAATAATAGTGATGCTTCTATTATTATAATTTTTTAATTATACCTTGTATAAGAGTTTTATATACAATTTAAGTAGGTTCTGTGTTTTTTGCTCTCTTTAACAACTGCAAATTTTTATACAAATTCTTTAATTTTCTATTATGTAATCTGTTCCATACATGACTTTATATCAACGAAGTGGACTTATTTTATTTATTTATTATTATTATTGTGTGTGTGTGTGATGCTGGGCCTTGTGCATCTTATACAAGCGCTGTACCCATTAGTTATATCCCCAGCTCCTAAATTATGGCTAAGTTTTAAGAACTCTTCTCCTCTTACTCTCCCTTATCTCTTAGTGTCAATGTTACTTCGTCACATTTACCACATCACGTGGCTAGTCTGCTACAGACTCTCACACGTTTGCCTTTCTTTTTGGAGTTCAGCATGATATGGAATAGAGAAAGGGATTTACACCCTTTGTGTATTTATTTTTAGTACAGATTTTTTTCTTTTATGATGGTGATTACAGTTTACTGAATGAATTTTCCTTCCATAATGAACTAATCCAAAGCTGCTTTCAGTGATCTGTTGTTGTTTGATCATTCCTTGTAGCAGCTGTTCTAAAGTCACATATTTGAAGATACATACCAACCATAGTGAAGTACTTTTACAAATGGAGACTGACATAAATTTGTTTATGGTTGTTAAAAACTACGTATTACTTTGAGAAATTCAGTTATGAAACATGAAATTGGAAAAATAGTTGTTACTCTTGGCATTATAAAAGAATGCTTTAAAAGTGAGGCATGCTTAATTCTGTCAAGTAATTGGCCACCCTAAAAATGAGTGTTGACTGACACTCTAAAAAGCAAAACACTATAGCACGTTTTTTTCTGGCATGTCTACTCTGCAAAACAAAATGTGAGGTTTTTCCTCCACCAAAAAAATAGGTAACTGATGACACATCTGTAGGATATCTTTTCATAGTAAATTGGGACTTATAATTCTCTTCTTATTTAATCAATTTTATGTCTAAAGACGAGCCTTATACCTAATTTATGTGTAGCAACTAATAAAAAAACATAAAATAGTGGATATCAGATGTGTTCAAAGGCTAAATATTGTCCATGGTTTGAGATCTAATTTGGTAAAATCTCTTAGATACATATCTTCACATTTTACCTCTCACCTTATCTCACTAATATCTTAAAAATCAAATCATTGTATTTATATTCACAAAGTAATTTTGCTTTACTTTTTGGTTCTCATAGTTTGTCTTCTTTCTGTAAAGTCTGTTTACCACTTTTTGATTTTCTGTATGTGACATTTTTACACTAAGATCTTTACATTGCTATTTCAGCAATCCCACGTGGAATACAGTAATTCATTATTGTTTGATATAGAACAAATTCCATAGAAATTAAATTGGGATAGGCATCAGATTTGCAGGAAGTAACCAAGCTAAAAATAGAATCTAGGTGTGTCATCATTCAAAAAACTCGTTATCTCATTACTATATTACCTTCTTATGTACAGCATCTAAAGTATCTGAGATATAATTTTGATATAAACAATAAGATTGACTTAAGTATTATTGCATATAGGAAATGAATCTAACATGGATAAGGCAAAGAAATCAATAACCAACAGTGACATTATTTCTATTTCAAAAAAAATCACTATGTTGGAAATGAAGGAATTAAATGAAAGGCAGCGGGCTGAACATTGTCAGAAAATGTATGAACACTTAAGGACTTCATTAAAGCAAATAGAAGAACGTAATTTTGAATTGGAAACCAAATTTGCTGAGGTTTGATATTAAATTTTTATCATGCAACTACAGGGTAAATAATTTATGTAGATATTGTGTTACTAACAGTTTTGTATCTCTGAAATAGTATATTAAAATAGTTCTTGTGTTTTATGTAATGAATGAAATCTGTTTATTATAAAATCTGAATTGTTTAAAATAGTGCAGCTTTTTCTGGAGTGAGTTCTTTCTCATCAGTGTTACATTATTAATTTTAATGTACAAAAGATATTTATCTATTCGATAACAAACTGCTTTCCACTACCATCTCTTGATTTAACAGGTATTTATTCAAGGCCTATCCTAATTGGGACTGAAGATAATTTCAAGAAACAAAACAGACAATTATACCTACTTTCAGAAACTTTACATTCTAGTAGAATATTTTTGAATTTTTTTAATACTGGTCAGAAGCATTAAACACAGTAATATAGTTTGCAAATGTTTGACAATTGATGATTAAACAACACTCATAATGTTGGCTTACTTTGGGAATTCACTTGTTATCCAGAGTACATATGTTACTTTTGTTCAGTTTAACTGAGTCACTAGCGCTCTATTACTATGATTTTATTAACTGATTTAAATCTATTTACAGAGATATAATTAAAGCAAAATATAAGGAGAATACTGTAGTCCAGGCAAAGTAAGAATAACAGATTCAGATATTATGAATTGCCTATCATAAATTACTTTGAAAGGATTATACTATAACCACATCTTCCATAATTTATTCTCCATTCTTTCCTCTCTTTAGTCTCTAGCTGGACTACAGAAAAGTAAATAGAACTGTAGTACTCTAAAAGCTGAATTCTGAAAAAAAAAAAAAAAAAAACTCATGGAAAATTGATGTATGTTGGGGACAGCTCAGTGGTACAGCAGAGCCCTGGGTTCCATTCCCAGTACAAAACAACAGCAACAAAACCTCACAAACCTCATGTGTCTGAACGTTTTCTGTTACTTTTTCTTAGCTTACCAAAATCAACTTGGATGCACAGAAGGTGGAACAAATGTTAAGAGATGAATTAGCTGACAGCGTGAGCAAGCCTGTGAGTGATGCTGATAGGCAACGCATTCTAGAATTAGAGAAAAGTGAAATGGAACTGAAAGTTGAAGTGTCAAAGTAAGAGCATACAAACATTTGTCACTTCATGCCATGTGTCTTCTCTTATTTGTCTTTAAGAAACTTAACAGCTGCGAATGTCTCATCATTCGCAGGATGAGGCAGGAAAATTGCAAATTTGAATTCTCTCAAACTTTAAAAAAATATAAAAGGAATGAGAATGTGGCTCAGTGCAAAGGCTTTCGGATTATCTCCAGTACCATTAAAGAATTAATTAAAAGGATAAACGTTCACATTCTTAGTGGTAATTGATCCTGGTTTCTTTTTAGTAAAAGAATTAATAATAATATTTTTGAACATGGTTAAATAAAAATGTTGAGGAAAAAATTATCTGAAAATCTGCATTTTTTGGAGTACAGGAATATGAGTGAAGAAAGCACTGGATTTGGAATCAGGTACTGAATTTGGAAATTGTGAGGTCTCCTTCTTATACTGATTATTTTTTAGGGCAAGTAGAAGATGGAAGAGGAATGGTCCTCACTTTAAAATGGAAATGACAGTACCTCTTCTGTGTTTCAAAAGATACTGTAAAAACATGAAAAATTCAGATTTTGATTTTATTTATATTATCTGCTGTGGACTAGGCACTGTGCCAGACGTCACACAGTCATACTTAAAGACCCTCAGGTAGTGCTTTCACACGGGGAAACGGGCCAGCTAATTAGAACACAAGATATGTGTCAGGAGTAAACACTATGAGCTGTGCATGGTGGTGCACACCTATAATCTCAGCACTTGGAAGGCTGGGGCAAAAGGATGGCTGTGAGTTTGAGGCCAACCTGGGCCACATAGTGGAGTCAAGGTCAGCCTGGGCTACATAGCAAGATCCTGTCTCAAAAAAAAAAAAAAAGAGTAAATACTGTGTGCCAGGTAGAGCATATGTACTTGCTTTTATAATTAGGTGCTACTTCAGGAGAAAAATATGGGTAGCACTGAGTTCATCTGTCATGTACAAATAATTAGCAAAAATATTTATATGGTTTCTGCATAAGGTTCCATAGCCATTCCTTTAGAGCCTCTAATGAGCCTCAAACGCAAGAGTCCTTGGGGGCTATCATTGTTTGCCAGCCCTTTTCCTTATGAGAGATTCTTCATTTCATTCTTCTTTCTCCTCATTTACATTACATAAGGAATACATTCATTTGGGAACATTATACACATACATGACACATCGTAATTCTTTACAACCCCCTTCATCTCTTGCTCCCCTTTCCATTTGCAAAGGATTTTCTCCTTTCCTATTACTTTTATTTTGTAATTGTAGTAGGTATATATTTTGTTTCTTTTCATGTGTTTGATAACTTGTAAATTAAAAGCATTTAAAATAGATATTAACCCATTCAGGTCATAACCTACTCTAGGAATTTTAAATTTCTGTAGTTTTGATAACCCATTTAATACTTTAAAAGTTTTGAAATAAGTATCTTATTAAAAATGTGAGATCAAGAGTCCTTGGTCATATACATTTGTAAGAGCTATATGTTAGGTACAGTTTGAGAGAATTATTTACATTAGAACTTCTCAGAACATTTAATATGTCATATTACATATGTCAAGGGGGAGAGATGTTGGCAAAGGAGTTCTATTATACTTGTTAATGTCTCATGGAACTAGGTTTTATGAAATAGTTCAGGAAACTTCTGAATCCTTTGTAATTTATGCAAAGAAGGGATGCTAGAATCTTAGGCTTTCCAGAAAAGAAACTATGAATTGGGGATTAGAAAATATACTTACTCATAACTGAAATACCTTATTGCTTCCTAGACTGAGAGAGATTTCTGATATTGCCAAAAGACAAGTTGAAATTTTGCATACACAGCAACAATCCAGAGAGAAGGAGGTAGAATCACTCAGAATGCAGCTGCTAGACTATCAGGTATATGCAGTAGTGGCTTTCTATATAGATTCTACGTGTTTCCTAAACTCATAGTATATATTGGTGTAATATTATAGTTTTAATCAGAAGATATGCTAACCAGAGTTGGAGCCTGATTTTAAAAACCCTGTAATTTAAAATACCATTTATAATCCAGAAAAGCATTTAAATGCCTGCAAATGCATCATGCTGGCTGCTGCCGAAAGTGAACACACTAAGCAGGAATAATACGTCTTTAATAACATTGTTTCCTCTTATATTTTATTTATTTATTTTTATTTTTATTTTTATTTTTTTGATGTTTAAATGGCTTAATCTTTATTTGGACTTTATCTCTGCTAGTGGTTAGAAACTCCCCTTTCCTCTTATACTTATGTGTAGCTTTTCAAGTATTTTCACATTGCAGATTTCTGGAGGATTAAAAAGTTCACATATATTGTATCAATGTATGATTTACCTGTATAAATATTTTTAAAAAGTAATATTCCAACTGTTATTTAGTTCAATTTGGATTTTAGGAATATTTAACTTTTTCTTATATAATTCTTTGGCAATTATATTATAACAAAAATAGATTTTTTTGTAGGATTTCATGTTCCATGTTGTTTTAAAATTGTGTTCAATAAATTGTGATTTAAAATCCATGATAAGTTCCTTTGGGAAAACTTGAGACTTACTCTAAATATGTACTTTTTAATATCAGGCACAATCTGACGAAAAGGCACTGATTGCAAAATTGCATCAACATATTGTCACTCTTCAAGTTAGCGAGGCGGCTGCTTTTGGGAAGTTGGAGTCAGTAACATCCAAGCTACAGAAGCTGGAGGCCTACAATTTGCGCTTAGAGCAGAAACTGGACGAAAAAGAGCAGGCTCTCTATTATGCTCGTTTGGAGGGGAGAAACAAAGCAAAACATCTGCGCCAAACAATTCAGTCTCTGCGAAGACAGTTCAGTGGGGCTTTACCTTTGGCACAACAGGAGAAATTCTCTAAAACCATGATTCAACTGCAAAATGACAAACTTAAAATAATGCAAGAAATGAAAAATTCTCAGCAACAACATAGAAATATGGAGAACAAAACATTGGAGTTGGAATTAAAGTTAAAGGGTCTAGAGGAGTTAATAAGCACGTTAAAGGATGCCAGGGGAGCGCAAAAGGTAAAAATTGACTTGAAGTTTAGTATTTCCAAATTTATATATATATTTATTTTTTATTTTTTGTACCAGGGGATTGAACTTGGGACCTTGTGCTTACAAAGCAGGCAGCAGAACCACTGAGCTAAATCCCCGACCTACTTGCATAATAATTTTAAAGCTCTTAGTATGTGCCTGTTTGGAAAATGCTTAATATACAGCCCAAATTGCAGCATAGTTCATTAATTTAGATTTTATAAGTAAGAGTTTTAGCTGTTTGAATGTGTATGATTTATAAAGGTAAAGTGAGTTTCTTAAACGATTTCAGTAAAAATAAGACTATATAATAACAAATTTAAATACTAGAAAAGTGAATTAAATACTAATTATAATTATTCTTATCTTTTTAGTGGTTATCAGTTGATTTATACTCTTTGCAACTGTTACCTATTTTAAATTATTTACCAGTCATTGACCCACAGTTATTTTTTAATACAGCTTAGTTCTTACCCTTATGTGGTCAAAATTAAATGAAAAATAACTTTGCAACTGAATCCTATTCTTTCGGCTAGAAATATTTAGGATTTACATTTCTGAAAATAGTACTAATGTGTGTCTGACATGTTTGCAGTAAGCACTCAGCAAACAAATGATGGTAAATTAAAAATGAAAGTAAATATTAGAGATATTCATTTCAGTGAATAAATATTTTATTGTAATATACCATATATTCTCAGAATGTGTCTGGAAATCCTAAATAAACTTATTCATGCAACTTGAACTAGGGTAACTTTATATCTTCTCTTACAAAATGTCCACTAATTTGAATTAAAATCATTCTGATCAATGGAGAAATATTTATGTAACTGTACATATAATTTGTAAATCTTAGGTAATCAGTTGGCATATGAAAATAGAAGAACTTCGTCTTCAAGAGTTTAAACTAAATCGAGAATTAATCAGAGATAAAGAAGAAATAAAATATTTGAATAATATAATATCAGAATATGAACATACAATCAGCAACCTGGAAGAAGAAATTGTTCAACAGAACAAGGTTTTATTTTGCATTTTTTTTTTTGCTAAGATTTTTAAACATAAAACATTGAGTGAATAACTATTGTTCTAATGGAATGTACCTCAATTAATAGGTTATTATTTAAAATATTATTAAAATAATTTGCTTTTCACTGTTTATATTACTCAAAATATTTTTTGAAACAGTCTTAAAAGGAGTAGTATGTAAGCAACTTTATTTGGAAAGTTAACTTTTATTTTTATATCACTTATTTGACTTTCTGCAGTTCTAAGTTTCTAAGTTACTAGCTTTCACTGATGGAGTAGAATGCATTCTGGTGTAGAATACAGTGCATGATTTGGACGTGGATGAAATTCAAGTCCATACTTGCCTCAGAGATTTTGGTGTTTCTTCTGCTTAGATTTTTTTAATACTAGATACCTATGGCACTTACACTTTCATTGCCTTAAGATCTTAGCTCAGTTTCCTTCCTTATTAGTGCGACCTTCCAGCCACCTGATATAAGATGGCAATTCCTACTACAGTATCATATTCTCTAAATAGGGATTACTTATTTTCATTTTTCTCTCTATTCCTTGTCATTCTGTCATATGTTTGTTTGTTTCTGCCTTGCTCTCCCTCACTAGAGTATAATTCCATGGTGACAGGGACATGGTTTTGTTCATTGCTATGTTCCCACTCCATAGAAAAATGTCTGGCATCTAGTTTTATGTCATTAGTTGTTTTGGATGCTCAGATGAATGAATGTATAGATGAATAGATTGAAATCCTGACATCATATCTGTCAAGCTCTCTGATGTTAGGAGAGTTACTTCATTACCTGAATTGTATTCTTTTCCATAGAATGAGTATAATAGTGACCTCAGAGAGCTATTAGGATTATATGAGAAAATGTATGTAAAATGCCTGCTATATGCCTCTGTGTGTGTGTGTGCGTGCGTGTGTGTGTGTGTGTGTGTGTGTGTGTATCTGACACAAATTGTCTTTGTTCAGTTTCATGAAGAACGACAAATGGCCTGGGATCAAAGAGAAGTTGAGCTGGAACGTCAACTTGATATTTTTGAGCATCAGCAAAATGAAATCATAAATGCAGCACAAAAGGTAGGAGGGACTGATCCTGTTTGCTACTGTGACGTGGCATGGAGCATTAACTGACAAATATTTTCTAAATCAGATGAAATTTAAATTGATGTTATATTCTTACATTTAAAATATAAGTGAGGTTTAACATATGTTTTGTTACACATTTGTATGAACTAATGCTGTTTAGTCTTGATGATGCAACTTCTGTTTTTAAAAACATGATATTTATTAATAGTTTGAGGAGGCTACAGGATCAATGCCAGACCCTAGTCTGCCCCTTCCAAATCAGCTGGAGTTTGCTTTAAGAAAACTCAAGGAGAATATTCGAGTCATCCTAGAAACACAGGCAACTTGCAAAGCACTAGAAGAGGTAATCAGCAGAATTTGTAATTTGATTAGTGTATGTACTGGGGATTTTCTAAGTAATATTTAATGATGAAGCATAAGATGATGAATTTGTTTCTGATTCCACTGTCGCTTTCTATTCTCCTGTAAGGGTTGTAAAAGCCAATAATCAACAGCAGATGTAGCTAATTTGAATTCACTATTCATTTAATTACTACTTGTCACTTTTAGGCACACTGATCAGTAAAAATGAGCTTCAAAGAAAATTTTTTAAAAAAACATTCGTAGATGTATGTGCAATATAGTGCTTACATGATATTTTTTATTTTGAAATGCCTATTGTATACCCTTGAATCAATTTTACTCTAATGCTTTTATGATTTGGGAAAGTAAAGGTAAACTAGAAATTAGTTATTAAGAAATGATTTAGTCTAGGTATTAGATTTGATTAATATATTATCATATCAAAATTGTTAGAAAATAATATAAATGAATATTGTTTTAGTTTCCAACTGAGCATATGACCCATAAATTAATTTTGACAACAATTTCTCATGTAAATTATACATTCTTTATAAATTCAGGAAACCAATTTTCTTCATTAGTCAGATCTGTCATTTATATGAATTGCTATTGAGTTACTTGAGTGAAATATCTGCTTTAATACCAATGAAGAGTAAAAAGTCTATTTCCTGCTTTGTTTTATTTATTTTTATTTAGTTATTTATTTTTGGTACTGGGGATTGAACTCGGGTCCTTGTGCTTGCGAGTCTGGCGGTGGAACCACAGAGCTAAATCCCTGGCCCCTTTCCTGCTTTATTTTAATGAACTGCAGTTTTTGATTGTAGTTATACATAGACTTGAACTACTGAAATTCCAGTTTTATACTCAGTAGACTTTTATGGAGTTTTAGTGCTTTGATAAGTCTGTAGATCCAAATAAAAGGAATGATTTATTACATTTCCATTCTGAGACTAGTACCAGCACTGATATATGCCTCTAAACTGCAGGATCCTAATAAAGTGCCCCAATTGAATTTTATTTTTATCCCAACCATGAAGTTTTGACACATGATAACCTTACAGATAAAATATGCATGAAAATAACAGTACTATTATGTTAAAAATAACATCTAATCTTATTAGAAATCTGTGAAAAATAAAACTTTTTTGCTTATATCTAACTGAAATTCAGATGCAGCATTTTAAAGAAAAAAGTAAGCTTTCATTATTTGTTATGATTTAACTGCAGAAACTAAAAGAAAAAGAATCTGCTTTACGGTTAGCAGAGCAAAATATTCTGTCAAGAGACAGAGTAATCACTGAACTGAGGCTTCGATTACCTGCCACTGCAGAACGAGAAAAGCTTATAGCTGAACTAGGCAGAAAGGAGGTGGAGCCAACATCTCATCATGCAATGAAAATTGCTCATCAAACCATTGCAAACATGCAAGCAAGGTTAAATCAAAAGGAAGAGGTATTGAAGAAATACCAGCGTCTTCTAGAAAAAGCCAGAGAGGTATTTCATTATATTTTTCATTCTGTTTCATTTTTTTCAGTCAAATGCCAAATCTTACGCTGTCTTAAAGTGGTCGTTTATTTCTTGCTTTCATATGATTCCATTTAGAAATTGTTACTTTCTCATGATTAGATTACAGATTTGTCAGTAAAACTGGCAGTTTGTATATGTGTATCTGTGTCTCAAGGAATAACCAAACCAGAAACAGCTGGCTGTCATGGTGAAACGTTAAGATTAAAATAAAAAAATGCCAATTCATAAGTAAGAATCAAGGCAATAAATAACTTGAGTTCTACTACATTAGCAGTCAGTAGAACTCAGATTTGCTAGAACTAGGGACCTTAACATTTAAAAAATTTTCTAGAAACAAGTTAAAAGATGATACTTATGTGTCATTCTTATTCTAATGTTAAGAATAAATTATCAAAGGTTGAGGTTGTAAGCATGAAGGTTCATTAGGGGAGATGTCTATATATATATATGAAGATAATGTTCTTTTGCTATCTCAGAGATTTTTAGACTATTAAAAATAAAATGTTTAAGATCTTCAGAGTTTAATTTATTTGAATCACAATTTAAAGTACAGATTTGATTTTTGCTAAAACAGGAGCAAAGAGAAATTGTTAAGAAACATGAAGAAGATCTTCATAGTCTTCATCATAAATTAGAACTACAGGCTGACAGCTCACTCAATAAATTCAAACAAACAGCTTGGGTAAGATTCTAGATTTTTGTTCTATTCTTTATTGATTTTTAAAAATCCTATAGTTTAAAAGTTATCCCACTTTTTTATTGCCAAAAATAATCTGAAAACACAGCTCAAATCCAAACCCTTTTTAAACCTAAACCCTTCAAACTTAGCACTACTCACAAAAACATGGTTCTTGTCTTTAGCCATGTACGGTTTCCTATGATCTAACCTTAGTCTTTCTTTCCAAACTCAACTCATTAAAAGCTTCTGACTAAACTTACACTTCCCATTTGTGAACTCATACTTGCTTCTTTGAATCATTCTGTTCTCTGTGTGTAAAATGACTTGTCTTTCACCTCTTAATATGTAACCTGAGAATCCTTGAGCCTTACCTCATTAATTTAGTCAGCATTTATTGGTGTACACTTTGCTAAATGCTAGCAATGGAAGAGTACAATCTTTATTTCTTCTTTAAGGCTTCATTTTCTATTAAATTATTAAGTTTTAGGATTTGTATTTTGGTCATTTGAGAAATTAAATTCAAATTATGGAATAAGTGGTATTGAATTATGTATGTCCATGGCTAATATGTTCGTATTTCATAGGATTTAATAAAACAATCTCCTGCTACAGTTCCTACCAACAAGCACTTTATTCGTCTAGCTGAGATGGAACAGACAGTTGCAGAACAAGATTACTCTCTCTCTGAACTTTTAAGCAAACTAAAGAAAGTATCACAAGAGTTAGAGAGGCAAAAAGAAATCACGGAATTAAAAATCAAAGAATTTGAAAATATGAAATTACGGTAAGGCTTAGACATGAACTTAAAAATAAGCAAATGGTAATTATGACAGTGAAGATAAATATGTTTGCTTTGTCAGATATTGATGTATATTGTCTGAATTTATTCTCTGGACTGCTTGTGACATATCATTTTCCCCATTTCTCAGATAGGAAGCAAGACCTGTGGGAGGCTCAGTAACAGGGCTGGGAAGACATGGGAAGGCCGCAGTTTGAAATAGTCAGTGTGGCTCGAAAGCCAATAGAGGTTCTACCCTAGAATCTTTTTGTATGAGTGTCAGCTTCATCCTTTTGTAACAGTAGTACATAACCCTGGCCCATTCGTAGTGGTTAAATGAAGGCCCAGTGGAACTGTATATGAAAGTCACCTGAAAATTATAAAATTACATACAAAGTTTGCTTGTTTGCCTTGGTGTATGTGCCACAAATAGAGGCTCAATAAATGATTGTTAAATGAAGAAGTAATTTATTAATTACACTGACAGTTGAGTGTTTACAACATTTTCTGTATTAGAAATTCTAAATGGTTTTCTAAATTTTGCATTTTCTAAATGCAAATTTATCATAATATATATTTTAAACCTAAAATAGGCTTTTAATTATGCAGTTTCTAATCATAGAACTATTTTTCAATTTTCTTATTTAGAAAAAGTGAGAAAGTTGATGTTCTTAATGCACAATTCCATCCCAGCACTAAAGCCCTTATTAGACCTTTTGATTATTTTCTCACATATTAAAGATGCCTCTGATAAAATTAACATGTATTTTTTCATTTAAGTAATTGTCATTTTTTTCTTCCAAATGAGATTTAGTAACAGCATATGGTGTGTTTTTGATCTGTTTTTCTCATTGTGTTAGAAATCTTATACATGGGAGATTACTTTTGATTTAGTAAATCTATGTCCTGTTTTGGAGTACTTAACACTTTTAAATTCTGAGTGTAGAAAAAGTTCTATATAAAATGTTTTTGCCATATGGAGTATTTCAAATAGCCATTTTACGACTTTATAAGATTTTTTTTCAAGTATTGCATGAAACAATTAATAAATACATTTTTTATATCAGGCTCCAAGAAAACCATGAAGGTGAAGTGAAAAAAATGAAAACAGAAATAGAAGATTTAAGATGCCTTCTGGCCCAGTCACAAAAGGAATCACAGAGTTTAAAGTCTGAACTGCAAGCTCAAAAAGAAGCAAATTCAAGAGCTCCAACAACTACAATGAGAAATCTAGTAGATCGGCTAAAGAGCCAGTTGTCCTTGAAAGAAAAACAACAAAAAGTAAATAACAGAAAATTATTAACATCTAGTAAAAATAAATAGAGAAGATTTGTAAATGAGTTAGATGTGATAGCGTAAATGTGTTAAAGTAAAATGCTGTAAAATAGGACAGATATTTCAAGATAATTCTTAAATAGACTTTTTCAGTGTTATTTTTAAATGTGAGTACAGTTTAGTTTACCTTTTTTATGTTGTCATCAGAAATTTATGGATTATTTTCACCTTTTCTACTGCTCTTTTTTTTTTTTTTTTTTTTTTGGCGGCTTGAGGCTGGTTAAAAAAATTCGGTAGTTTTCAGTGACTTGAAGAGAATAAGAAAGAAATGTGGTAGTGAAAAGGACGTGTTAAAGAAGATTTCAGAGATAGATTCGTGAAGGAGTTGGTCAGTTCATTCACTTTTTTTGTCATTAATCTGAGATTTGATATACTGAAACTGTTTGGAAGATATTGCTGTTCTTGGTAGCTCACAAAATTTATTGGTGGGTTTTAAGCTTTTCCCACCCATTTTTTCTAACTTTGTCTACCTAAATTAAATTAATTTTATAATGAAGGATATACTGAGTGGATAATTTGTAAGTATCTAAACTTGGATATTTGAAAGCACCCCTCGTGTTTGTAATACAAATTTCTTGACTTAATACTGTTTTCTCAGAGTTATTGTTGAAATTTTGAACTCTTACATCCAATTGGGAAAGAACAGAGTGTAGTCACTAATGGAAATTTATTTAGAAAAGTACATGTCTTCTTGATGAATTATGTTTTAGCGAACAAATGATATTTTCAGAAAAATAGTAGTAAATAAACTTTATTTATTTGATATTGCTCAAATAAAATACTAGTTTTCTCTTTATTAGTTTTTGTAATCAACCTATGTGGATAACATCTGACACATTTAAAACAGAGCATTCCCCAAATGGAAAAAAGTTAAGTTTACTGTTTCTAGACCATTATGGCTGTTAATTGACAACTCAATACGGTAAACTGGGTTATTTTAAAAAATGTACATATGTTTTAATTTTTAGGCACTTAGTCGAGCACTTTTGGAACTCCGGGCAGAAATGACAGCAGCAGCAGAAGAACACATCATTTCTGTAACTTCTCAGAAAGAGGCAAATCTCAATGTTCAGCAGATTGTCGATAGACAAACTAGAGAGCTGAAGGTGAGTATCAGCACTTAACATTTCTATTACAGTATTCCTAGAAGTTCATATTGGAAGAGAATCCACTTTTGATATGTGTGCTAGTTACTTTTCTCTCATTGCTGAGACAAAATACCTGACACCAGAAGTTAAACAGAAAGGGGTTCATTTAGCTTACAATTTGTAGAGGTTTCAGTCGGTAATCAGCCAACTCCAAGGCAGGGGTGACAAAGAGGCATGGCAGAGCAGAAACAGCGTGGTACTCAGAAGGCACCAAAGATAACAAATGAATTAAACAGCATCTCCCTGCCCCTTTTAGCTTACTCAGACTACTCAGAGTAGCACTTATACCCTTAATTCTAGTGCCCTTGAGTCTAGAATTGTATCATGAATCAATTCCAGCTTCATACACTCTAGATCAAGTCTTTGACCATATGAGGCTTTGTGGGGACATGTAGCCCCAAACCGTAACAATAGGTATTAATTTTGACCCTGAGTAGGGAATTTATAATGAATTTGTGGTGGATAGATAAGCATATGTGTGCATTTTTTAACAATACAACTTTATGACATTCATGTACTGATTATCAGGAGGATTGGGAAAGGATTTAGAGCAGTCTAATGTTCATAGCAAAATCAAGAGGAGACTATAGAGATTTCTCATATAGCACCCCACACATATGCTTAGTTTCTTCCATTATCATTATCTTCCCCTAGGGTGTCATATTTTTTATAATTAATGTACTTAAAATGAAATCTTATAATTACCCGAAGTTCAGGTTTATGTTAGAGTTCACTTATACATTCTGTGAGTTTAAACAAATATATTAATGAACATGGATCTTTGCTGCACAATATTGTAGCATAAAGACTGTTTTCATTAGTTTCTCTGGTGTGAAAAACTATAATAGTACTTAAGATCCTAATGAGATAATTGACAGTGTGAAATAGGAAAAAAAGGGCTAAAGGTGTAGGGAAAGTGGGAAGGATAGGGGAAAGGTAATAAGGGAAAAGAAAAAATAGGAGAAAATTTTAAAAATGGAAATAAAATGTTTGTAAATGAGGAGGGGAGGAAGGGTGAAGGGAGGGCAGGGACAAGGGGAAAAAATGAGACCCAAGACCTGTTAATGTAAAGGTACAAGATCCCAATGATGAATGTAACTGTACTGTATACCTAAAATGTACCAATAAACTCAATTAAAAAAAAAAAACTTTTCATGGCTCCAAAACTTTTCCACTAATTCCCCTTAACTTCCACCAAACCTTGGGAACTACTGACACTTACTCTCTATAACTTTGCCTTTTCCAAAATGAGTTGTAGGTGGAATTGTACAATATGTAAGTAACCTTTTTAAATTGACTTTCATTTGGTAATACATTTCTGTTTTTAGCCCTGAATATCTTCCAGTGTCTAAATATATCACATTTTATGTATCTACTTAATTTCTGGGGACATCTTAGATGTGTCTAAGTTTTGGCTATTGTTAACTAAGCAGTTTTTACTTCTAAATCAATAAGTGAGATGTGTGGATTTATTGCTTTTGTTTTGTCTAATTGTATAAGGAATACGCCTTTGTTAATAGCTTTTTTTAATACTAAAATATCATCTTGTCTGAATTCTTCCTATTCAAGTCTTCCATTTCAAATACTTTTCTGACTTGTCTAAGATTGTTTCCCTTTAACAAAATAATAATATTTATTAGTATTATTAGTAGTACTTGGCTTGTAGTAATCTATTTGAGTAAATCATTATAGGCCAAGTAATGTTTCTATTGTTATCACTATATAAAATAGCTAAAAATACTTTCCTGATGGTTTTTATATATACTGTATAATGTTACACATTTCCTTTCATATCTTGTCCTTACAAAGTACATTAGAACTACTTCAAGTCATATATTTTGTTTTATCATGCTCATGCTTCATAGTTTTTAAACTATTGCTAGGCACACGGATAGGTACTTATTTCTTCCATTTGAGTGCAATGAAGCATTTGTTTAATTCATGAAATCTTGTTCCTGTATGTTGTTGAAGATTAATTTGTTTTCGGATGTTTTTGTTTTTCTCTAAGTTTGTTTGACATGAATATGGGGGGAAATATATATATATATATATATATATATATAGTGGGTTTTTTAATCGTGTGTACTGTTCTTATATTTAGTATTAATGGTATTTTTGTTTTGTGTTGTTTTTATCATTGATGATGAAGATTCATGAATAAGCTCTTTCTCTCTCATTAGTCACAAATTGAAGATTTAAATGAAAACCTTTTAAAATTGAGAGAAGCTCTTAAAACAAGTAAAAACAGAGAAAACTCACTAACTGATAATTTGAATGACTTAAATAATGACCTACAAAGAAAACAAAAAGCCTATAATAAAATACTTAGAGAAAAAGATGGAATTGATCAAGAGAATGAAGAACTCAAAAGACAAATTAAAAGACTAACTACTGGGTTACAGGTAATTTTATATATAATTCTGATAGTCTTTGTAATAAGTAGTACTTTATTTCCCTTCTTAATTTTATCTACGGTATTTGCTAAAACTGGCTTTCAGACCATTTTGATAAACATAACTAATTCCTTTACTGATTTCTATTGTATATAAAACTCTAGTATAGTGTATTCTATAAAATACAGGAACAACTACCCTGTTATACCTATGTATTATAGAAAGTAGGGTTAGTGATGGGCCGCAAAATTTCTGTATTTAGAATATCTGGTGTACTTTTTGACATTTATTTGTAAACTGTAAACTTCTATCTTATTTTTTCAGAGCAAACCTCTGATAGATAATAAACAGAGTTTAATTGAGGAACTTCAAAAGAAAGTTAAAAAACTAGAAAGCCAACTGGAAAGAAAGGTGGATGAGGTAGACGTAAAACCTATGAAGGAAAAGGTATGTAATAAAGCATATTGAGTAATATGCATAAAATAGTGACAGATTAAATATATAGTTGATAAACAGATAATATAATATCTTGTAGTAATTTGAGGGCCTAAAACATGTGAAAAGTAGTACTGTCTAAGCAGATAAGTCTTAAGAAAAGTTTCTGTCCTTTAGTTAACTCACAGTCTACTTAAGGAACGAGGCATCATTTATGTAGCTCTTGGAAATCACTACACCATCTGTGTGGCGTCTTCCTGACACCATAGTACCTCCAGCGACGCTTCACATCTTACATACCCAGCTATGTATTTTCCCCCAAATAATCATTTATGTAGGTTGGTGCTTTTGACCTTTTGGACAAAGATAAACTTTAAAATACCCACTCTGAACCAAATGTATTTCAGTAACTTTCAGCCAACCCACTCACCAGTTTATTTTGTAGTATGAGGAAAGTTGCTTAAATTCTTCTTACAGGTTTACTGGTAAACCACCTTGTAATAAAAATGAGTGATAGGATAATCAACCCAAAGAAAAACTAAAGTTAACTGAAATGCTTATAATACAATTTATTATGAATAATAAACTAGAGATAACCTTATTAGTATATTGAAAATACCAAAAGTTACCTGAGAACATTTGTGTTTGTTGTAATTTTTGTCCCTAAAAAAAAAAAATCACTATAATTAGGAAAATTCTGCGTTATAAAATTTACCCAGAAACTGCTCAGTATCTAGTAAATACTTTCAATAACAGTGTATTTCAATAATAGAATAGTATTTTCCCTATGAAAATTCATAACATCAGTGTCATTTTGATGAAAATGATTGAATCTGTAAACGTAAAGCCACAACATGCTTTCTGTCCATAGCTCTATTGATGTAGTAGTCAGCTTTCCCATGACTGAGACAAAATACCTGACATGCATGACTTAAAGGTTCATGTGACTCATGGTTTCAGAGCAGCCAGATAGTTAATAGTCTCTGGCTCTAAGGCAGAAATGTCTTGAAGGAAGGGCTTGGTGAAAGAAAGCTGCTCAACCCAAGGCAGTCCAGAAATAGGGTGTGAGGAAGGGTCGGGGAGAGACATACCCAAAAGCACACTTCCAGTGACCCACCTCATCCAGTAGGGCCACAATTCCTAACAGCACATTAAGCTGTGAACTTATAAGTGGATCAGTTTACCAGTGAATATAGTGCCCCATGGTCCGTCACCCTCTGAAAGCCTAGCTCTAAACACTTTATGCTTTGGGAGGACTTTGTTTATTTTTGTGGTACTGGAGATTGAACCCAGGGCCTCCTCACTGAGCTACATCACCATCTTTTTTTTATTTCTTAATTTTGAGACAGGGTCTCCATAAGTCATCAGATTGACCAGTCTAGGCTTGAACTTGTAATCTCCTGACTGAATTATACAGACTTTCTTTGGCTCCTTTATCAAAATTATAACAAGCTATAATAGCACTATGATTACTAGCTAATTTTCCTATTACTGTGATACCCTAATTCCTTTATTTTCTTTTTTTTTTAAAGCACTTATAACCAGTTCACTTGATGCCCAGTTTCTTTTGTTTCTCATTTTACTGTCTATACTTACTATTTATACCTAAGTCAGTCAACATAAACTATATTATAATATTCATGAAGATCCAATTTTTTATCAGGTTCATTGCTTCTAGTCCTAGTGTCTACAATAGTATCTGGCATGTGGTTAGAACTAAATACTGTAAATATGTGTTAAATATATAAAATAATGTATATTGAAACCTTAGTGAGTTTTGATGGTAAAGTATCATGAACCAACACAATTAGATCATTTATATTTAAAATTATTTTTCAAAGCTTATTTTAGTTTTGATCATCTGTATTGGAATCTTAATTTTAAAACTCTATAAAGATGCTGACATTAGTCAAAACTCACCCAGAATTTTATCTGTCAAGTGATAAAACCTCTTCAGACTGAAGGTCATTTTTGCTAATTTTTGCTAGATTGGTATGCCTAAAGATTCTTGAAGTTGCATTACGTATTTACATATTGTCTTGGAGTATTGATTTACTATTTTTCTAGGTAGAAATTGATAAAATTAAAAATAATACTAGTAATTTTCTAATTTATTTATTATTGCTTATAGAGTGCTAAAGAAGAATTAATTAGGTGGGAAGAAGGTAAAAAATGGCAAACCAAAATAGAGGGACTTCGAAACAAGTTAAAAGAGAAAGAAGGAGAAGTTTATACTCTAACAAAGCAGTTAACTACTTTGAAGGATCTTTTTGCCAAGTAAGTTTGAATTTTATTGTAAAACATTTACAATATCAATCTGGAAGTTATAATCTTATAATAATTGATAATGTGAAAATTTTTCTAATTTTAAGTATTTATCATTATGACTCACTTTATTTTCTTTAAAATGCCTCAAACACATTTTAACAATTACAAGTGGAGTGTTGTATGATTTTAAAGTGAGTTAGTTCATAGCAAATATAGAATGGTACAGTTGGTGTATACTGTTCTAATAATGAGTAAGCTCTAACCTAATAGATGGAAAAAGCCAAAGAGTAAGTGGCATGTTTTCATGGTTTTATACTACATTCCACAGAGCTGACAAAGAGAAACAAACTTTGCAGAGGAAACTAAAAACAACTGGTATGACTGTTGATCAGGTTATTGGAATGCGAGCTTTGGAGTCAGAAAAAGAGTTGGAAGAATTAAAAAAGAGAAATCTTGACTTGGAAAATGACATACTGTGTATGAGGTAAGCTATCACATAGAAATATAGCACCTATTTTGATGAAAACTGCTTGACCCATAGTTAGGGAAATAATAAATGTGTATTGTTTCAAGTTTGGGTTGTGTTGATTGTCTTTTCTCATTTGAGATGAAATATTACTGAATTTTTGTATGCTATGTAATTTTGAATTATATCCTTGACCTTTAAATATTATGCTGTGAGCCTTTGAGTCTTTTTTAAATTCTGTGGAAAATATATTTTTGTTTCAGCGTGTAATCCATCCGATTAGATCCGGATTTCAGGTTCCAACCTCCTTTCTTTGGGCTCTGATTCCAACCCCAGTTCTCTCTTCAAAGCTTCCACAGTGCTGGTTCAGCTTTGTCCTGCCTGTACACCTCCCACTTGCACAGATGTCTGATACATAGGCTGTGTCTTACTCAGTTCCCCAAATTTTCTGCATTCTTTTCAGCACCAGAGCCATACAAATGCATCTCAAGAGTGACTGCAGAAGTTCACAAATGACTTTTAAGGGTCCTTTTCTTGAGCTCCTTCCACTCTGTTATCTTGATACTCCTTTTTCCCTACAGCTCCCCATTAGGGGACTTTGGACAGAATACAGGGCCTTATTTACACCTTTCATGATGTGTACTTCAGCAGGTTCGCATATCTATAGCCAATGTGTTAATTTTATGTCAATCTGACAAAATGCTTGAGAAAATAAACTTGAGCAAAGATTTATTTTGGCCCATGGTTTCATAGGTTTCAGTCCATGGTTACTTGGTTGCTGGAACATCATGGTAGCCAGAGCATGTGGCAGAGGAGGAGGCTCAGTTCATGACAATAGGAAGCAGAGAGAGAGATAACAAGCCAGGACCTAATATACTAAGTTGGGGGCCAAACCTTCAACACATGAGCTTTTGGGGGGATAGTCTAGATTCAAATTATAATTCCAGACAGCAATGGGAAAACAGAAAGATGTAGGAGAAAAAAATTGTTGTCCCACCCCATTGGTAGTACAGCTGTGTCAATTGGAGAAGATTCCCCTCATAATTTTTAAATAGAAAAATGTGTGATAAAAGTATTAAAGATATGTATCCTCATATCTAAATATTACAGACAGATACCAGACCTTGCCAATGAGTATTCATATGATTACAGATCATTTGAACACTCTTGGCTGAGAAAATAACAAGTTACGTATAACCTAAGTAAATCTTGGAAGAAGTAACTAAAACAGAAAACTAAGTAGTTTTAGTTTTTAGGACATTTATTTTGTATGACTATAACTGTATCAGAAAACGTAATTTGGAAAGAGATCCCAAAGTAAAACAAATCTCAAAGCCTTCCTAAAAGAAATTGCATGGTAGTCATGATAGCGTGAGTGAGTGGGAGTTCTAGGTATGATGGAGTAAACACACTCAGTTGTCTGTCACAAATTAAGGTGCAACTATTTAAGGACTTTGAAAATGAAATAGTGTAAGGCAGATTTTGGTAGAATACTAGAATTTAAGTGTCAGCCAACCAGCTGTGAGTTTACCTTTTCTTTACTTCTGTTATTACCTGAGCTAAACATACTTGAAACTTGAAAGTCTTGTAACTCAAATAAGGAGAGAGGGAATTTCTAAGCCTCAGAGTATGAAGATATCTCATTATGTTTTCTGGGTTATCTCATGCCCCAACCTTAAACAATTCCATGATTTGGGAAGCAGAGGCTAGGTTTCATCTCCGGCACCTTTAAAAAATAGTGGTTTTATGAGCTGCTAACCTACAAATCTCTTTCTGTCCAAGTTACTAGTTGTTTTTTGTTTGTCCTTCAGAATCTCACTTGATAGGAAAAAAATGATCAAACAGTTCTATGTCTTGACATCTGTTTAAAGTTACTGCTTGATCTAAAAACAGTTTTCCCTTTTTTTGTTTTTCTTAAATCTAACCAGATTCAATTTTTATTAGCCTCCATATCTTCATGAGAATTGAACATTTTACTTTTGAAACCTTCAACTTTTAATACTTTCAATACTTTTAAAAGTTCTTTTTTCCTCTTTTTTCTAATGTGAATCTACAAGGTTTGAAGTAATTGGAGAAGACTTTATAGAAGATACTTAACCTCTTCAAATTTAAGAAATTTTATATTTGAACTTTGTGAATCAGATACAGACATGAAAATTAAGTATATATGGATGTAGGACATAGGGCATATCCCCAGTAGAAATGTAGAGGAAGATGAGCTATGTATGGTTAAAAGTAGATTTATCTGCCTATATAAAAGAAGTCTTCTGGTAAATGAAATTTGACAGATATGCCTGAGCAAGATTATGGAGAGTCTTTAAGTTTAAACTTTCATTATCTATATGTAGGTTTTAGAAGTTTCAAAAAACATTTGACTGTATTCATAAACACTTGCATTTTTCATTGCTTTCTTATATTTTAATTTAGTAAACAGGAAAAAGTTGAGATTTGTATAGTAAAGTATCTGGGTTTGTTCACAGGAATCATCAGGCTCTTCCTCGAGATTCTGTTGTTGAAGATTTACGTTTACAAAATAGATACCTTCAAGAAAAACTTAATGCTTTAGAAAAACAATTTTCAAAGGATGAATATTCTAAGCCTCCAGTAAGTGTATATCTTTTTTGCCTATTTTATATGCATAAAAGTGAAATAAACTTGTTCCTTTATCTGGCCAAAAGATTAAAACCTTTTCATTAACACTGACACAGCAAATTTGACTTTTATTTTTACTTCATAATGTTGTTAAGTAACTTCTTTAATCCTAATATAATAAAACTTGGGATGCTTAAAGTTTGCATAAAACTTCATTACAAGCAGTATCTGGAAATTATAATTGTTACACATTTTGCTTTGATAGTTTAACGAAGGGGGAAGTGTGTTGCCGCGCTATTTTCATTGATATGTGTTATATGTTTCTAGTTAATAAAGACTCATTAATGATTAATGTAGAATTGTTTAGATCTTGTTTTAAATACTTGTTATAGATAAATACTTGAGATAGATAGGGATATATTTTTCCTTTTTATGCTTCTTTTTTTTTCTACATCAGCAGAATCTGGTATGCTTGCTTCCTTTGTTATTAGTGTTAATATATATGATATAATATTTTCTATTGAAAAAACATTTTATTCAGGAACCAAAAAAAAAGTCCCAAAACAAAATATTCAGAATAGAAAATAGGAAGAGAATAGATGCCAGTGACAACTGCATCACTGTGGTATTCTGAGGTATTATAGTAAACAAAGCAGAGGATGTAGATCCTATTAAATGCAATGAAGCTGAAGCAAAATTAAACAATAGACCAAATCCACATAGGTCAACCTGTGGTGATGTTGCAGACTTTAGCTCCAATTTTGAAAAATACAACAAATCCTAAAGTTGAGAAAATTAATAAAAAATGTTGTGAAAAATTAGAAACAGGACCATTGAAAGTGAAGAGAATAAGATAGGTAAGAATGAAAAAGGGAAGGGGCACATAGCTTGAAGGTGTGAATCACAGCTATATGGATCCCAGACTGCTGTGAAAAATCATGATTATGCCACAGGTCCTAGTGCATCCTCAGTGCTGAGGAGGAGGCGCAAACAAATTATGAATCTGAGATACTGGTCTAGCCAAAAATAAAATGTCTTTGCTTTGGATACACAGCAGTTCTTTATTTCTTTGTTAGCTGCAATTTCGTATAGCAAGTAAGACATACATATAATACCAATAGATCAGGATACATACAGTACTTAAAAAGGATAAACTATTAATGGATTTTTTTAAAAGTTCTAATTTTTAATAATTTATTTTCAAAATTGGTTGTGATGCATTTCCTCAGTTAGTTTAGAATTCTTTTTTTTTTAACTATTGGTATACACTTTATAAAGCATCATGTTAGATAAAGAAATAGCAAAAAAAAAAAGGCATGTTAAAGGTGTTTTATTTTGTCTTAGAAATTTCTAATTGAACCTGTTTTATTTACTTGTTATTTTATATATAGCAAGTTTATTTGGTATTCTTCATACCATGTATTGTAACAAGTACTTTTTTTTAATAATGAGAAAGGGAGCATACTTTTTTTTTGGTCAACTATGTTGTTTTAGGCTCTGTGCCTAAGATTATTTCTCACAATACTTTGCAAAGTGTATTTTTCTGTTTTACATATGAAACTGAGAGAATAAGTACACCTCTAATGATTGTGAGATTTAGAATCAGGATTTTAAATCCAGGTCTAGCAGGTCTGAACATCAGATACATACTACTTTGAGTCAATTTATACTGAGGTGTATAAGATGTTTGTTTATAGTTCAAATCAAATTACAGTTTTTCTTTATCTTGTCCACCTGAGTTACTCCATTCACATAAGTCCTCCAGATAGCAACTGAAATTGTATATCTGAATTATAAGAGAAAAAATGGATAAAAGTGATTTATTTCTTTTTCTAAGTTCACAATGCTTTTTGTTTGTTGGTTTTGTTTGGTTTTTTCTAAATAATAAGAGAATTAATAAGAGAACTTGGGACTTCCAGTATGACTCCAATTCCTATTCCCTAAAAATTTAATTTCAAGAAATTTGTGCCTTTTAATAGGATTATATTCCAATAAAATAGTTTGGAATTCCTATGAAGTTAATTATATAGGAATCTGTTTATATTTATAGAATCCATTAGAATTTATTGTGCAGAACTTTGGACAGTGAACTAAGAATACTTTTATTTTCTGAGAATAGAAGGAAAATTGATATACATTCACTTATATAGTAATTACATTCATATTTTAGTGAGAAGTGTTAAAATATATCCTCATGTAAAATCTCAGAATAACTCCTCTTTGATACTTCTTATATTTTCCAGTTATCAGTCAGTGGTACTTATAGAGGATTATCATTCATTAAATCAAATGGCTACCACAGATAGAGGAGATAAGCTTAGAGACAGAAAATTAAAGATTTCCATGTCTGGAGTTCTTAAAAGTTATCCTGTCTAGTTTACTCACCTACTACTACATGCAAAATCTGACAGCCTTGTAAGTGGTAAGATGTTCTCCCATAAACAGGCACTGAGAAGAGTCAAAATTCATGAATAAGTAGGAATGTATTACTGTGGGTTGTAGACATCAACAAAAGTGTCATTTTCTTGCCGCTATATATAAATACTTATTCTCTTAGACAAAAAAATCAGGTGGAAACATGCACTTTTTCTGCCAGCATCGTATGCATCCTCAAAATCAAATGTCTGTCTACAATTTCTTTATCTTTCTAAAGGCCTATTTTGTGATTTATTTGTTTTTACTACATCTTACCTAAATAGATAATAAAATACTATAAAAAATCAAGTAGTATAAATTCTGATAGTTAAAATATGATTCAGAAGTATGTGTAGTAGGTATATTATTTGTATAATATCTTAAGAATTATAGTGTCTGTAGTATTACTAACGTTATAGCCCATTGAGCCAGTGGACAGAAAAATTGGCAAAAAGAAACTGAAGCCACTCTGAGTGCTTTCACAAAATGATTTCACATGAGTCATATGAAATAGGTAGTATTCTGCTCAAGCTGGAGAAGAATAAGCACATATTTCTCATTCAAATAATTTTTACAGTTCAGAATGAGAAATAAAAATAAACATAAAGAACCCAGGGTAGAGGCATACCAAGAGAAATGCATTGTAGTGCATTTCAGAGGAGTGGTTACTTTAGTTCAAGAAATGAGGATATGATTTCTGAAGGAGAAAGGAATTCAGGTACTTCTTTTCATAATATTTGTTCAGCTTGCCATAACAATACAGTTGGCCCTCCGTATTAAAGTGTGTGCATGTGAAGATTCAACCAACCATGGCCCAGAAATATTTGGAAGAAAAAAGGTGCGTCTGTATTGATTATGTACAGACTTTCCTTTTCCTGTCATTCCCTAAATAATACATTGTCATAATAGTTGAATAGCATTTACATTGTGTTAGGTTTTACAAGTATTCTAGAGACGATTTAAAGTATTTAGAAGAATGTGCATACATTATATGCAAATATAACTATTTTACCTAAGGGACTTGAGCATCCACAAATTTTGTTATCTGTAATGCAGGAGGGAGGGGCTGTCCTGGAACCAGTGAGATACTGTGGATACTGAGGGAGAGATGTACTATAGATTTGGTGGCTTAGACACCAAAAATGTCTGGTCTCACCGTTCTGGAGCCTAAGTATTCAAAATCAAGGTGTTGACAAGAGTTGGTTTCTTCTGAAGTCTTTCAGTGAAGGATCTATCCCCAGTCTTGGCTTACAGTGTCCATTTTCTTTAGTCTCTCCATATTATCTTTCTGCTATGCATGTCTCTGTGTCCAAGTTCCCAACCTTTCCCTTTCATAAAGATTGTAATCATATTGGATTGTGTCTACTTTAGTGACCTTATTTTGACATGATTACCTGTCTCTAAAAGAGGTCATATTCTGAGGTACTGGGAATTATAACTTTAACCTATATGATTTGGAAAGTCAAGGAACATAATTCAACCACAAAACCAGATAACTTTTATTTTGGACTAAAAACACCAATATAAACTAGCATAATCATTTTGAGAGTATATATGTGAAGGCATTACTTATATATGGATGTTTAAGTTTTACTTTGTTTTCTGTTTCAGTTAAACTTACATTACCTTTCTTACTGCTAGTTTTATGTTCTAATTTAGTTTAGTTTTCCCTAGGTCTCTCCATTTTTTCATATTACTTTGAGAAGAAATTCCTCTTTCGGCATAGTATTTTCTTATCTAGTATGTATTTGTTGCTTTTATTTATTAAACTTTAAAAATATTCCAAATTTCATTTTTCTGAAGACTTCTGGAATAGAGTCAGGTGATCATTATCAAAAAGAACAAGAGCTCCAAAGGGCAAACTTGAAATTATCATCTGAAAATATTGAACTGAAATTTCAGCTTGAGCAAGCAAATAAAGATTTGCCAAGACTAAGGGTAAGTGTAATATTCTATATTGTATTAGGATACTGAAGGCCTGAACCCATCCCCTCCTACATAGTTATTATGCTTGCTTATATTAGCTTATAAATGAATATTAATAAAATAACATAGTGGCATATTGTATATACTTTCTCATTTAACAGTTATTTGTTGAAGGCCTACTTTGTATCAAACACTTCTAAGTGTTGGGATATAGCAGTCAAAAATGCATGTATTTGTAAAACTAGTAGTTAAAAATTAGAGTTTTGTTGCACACTAAGACAATAATGTAGAACTTTTTCTTAAAAGTTGTTATACAAAATACTCTTACTAGCATATGTTTTAGCTTGCAGTCTTTGTTAGTATAAAGATCCAGTTCAGTTTGCTACACTGGTAACGAGATTATTGTTAGTTCCATGAATGGTTTGCCTGTCCTTTTGAATGGCTGTAACTGTGTCAGATTGCTATGTATTTTCTTTTATCTCTTAGAATCAAGTAAGAGATTTGAAGGAAATGTGTGAATTTTTTAAGAAAGAAAAAGCAGAGGTTGAGCGGAAACTTAGAGGGGTGAGTATTTCGCTTCAATGGCTAAAGCTAATTGCTTTCATGTTGATGAGAAGCAATCATAATGCAAAAACTTATTCTGGTAATAATTTAAATATGGATTCAGTGAAAATTTTAAGAGTAATTTTGGAAAATGTCTTGCTGACAGCAACCTGTGTTCACAGTGACAGTGCATGTGCATACAAATACTAGGAAAAAAATTCAGACAGTAGAAATGATAAATTTAATATCCTGAGGTGGAAGGATATGTAGTTTTATTTTGTTAGCAATTGTCACATTTGAAAATAAGAGGATAATTGTTTCTTTTAGAAAATTTAATTTATTCTGATATTTACATTTTATATTATACATAATTTAGTATAGTTTAATTTCAGCTTAAATATAAAATATGTACAAAATAAAGTATATGTGACAGTTCTACCTTTTCTGGTTAATAATGAATGTAACTCAACTGTGAAAAAAATTAAGTACACTGATTTACCCAATTATTAAAAACTTTTGATTTGAAATTATAAGCAATTATGCTTATTAAATGGGGACCCATCTCTGTAAGTATATTTAAGTAAGGTTTTTTATTTCAGATATGTGTCCTGATTATATTGACAAAAAACTGAATTTCTAAATAATGGCTATTCTTGAAGAAAATTATGTATATAATGCCACAGTTAAAATTTGATCACTCAAGCCAGTCGTGGTGGCGCAGGCCTATAATCCCAGCATTCAGGAGGCTGAGGCAGGAGGATCGCTGTGAGTTCGAGACCAGCCTGGGCTACATAGCGAGTTCCAGGTCAGTCTCAACTACATAGTGAGACCCTGTCTCAAAAAAAAAAAAAAAAAAAAATTTTTTTTTTTTTGATTACTCGTAAGCTCATTAACAACACAAACCATTTCTTTGGTGATTTAATTGTATCAAAAGAAAACTCTTGGTATAGATGAGAGCACATTAACAGATTGGAATACTTAGATTTATTCATGTGGATCAGATATCAAAGCTAGACTATTTAAACCATTACCTATTTACTACATGATTTTAAGAATATCACATTTTATAAATCTTGGTTTTCATGTATGTAAAGTGAAAATTATAATTCCTATTTAACAAAATTCTTTGAAGGGTATATTGAGTTTACACAGAATCTGGAATCGGTTATTGGAATTAATAATAATGAGTACATTTGTGGGCCTGTTGTGTTATACTCTCTCAAATATTTAATTAAATGAAAAGGTTAACATGTTCTTTGCAGGCTGGTAGAAGTGGGAAGACAATCCCAGAACTAGAAAAAACCATTGGCTTAATGAAAAAAGTAGTTGAAAAGGTTCAGAGAGAAAATGAACAATTGAAAAGAGCATCAGAAATATTCACCAGTGAAAAAACCGCTAACATTGAACAGGAAAATGAGAAGTTAAAGGTAATTTTAAAATTTTGATAATTTTGACAGGAATATTTTAATATTTTAGCTTTAACTTTAGGTAAGCTTAAAGTTCAGTATATAAGATGCTTTAATGGATGCTGTACATATTTTATAGTAAAAGAAAAAATTTAAGGATCTGAGTTCGATCCCCAGTACCAAAAAAAACTTTTTTATTGGAGAGGAATATAAGGACAGTCATACAGTGGTTCCACTTAATCATCCTTGTTTCAAGACCATCGATCTTGCTTTGGTGCTGCGAATATTACTTGTACCTGGTTTTAAACATGTCGATGGCCAAGACTTCATCCTTGAGATTGATTTGATTGGGTGGTCCCTAAGACAGGTGTTGTACTGGTCATTGTGTGTGTGTGTGTGTGTGTGTGTGTGTGTGTGTGTTGTAGAGTAACCACCTCACTCTAATGTATAGCCAAGGTCGGTAAATTCTGATAAGACGACCAGTATTCAAGGGAAGTCTTCAATTCTAATCATGTCATATATGGTCACCAATGCTACTTTGAATTAAATTTTATGAGTTTGGAAGATCATCTTTCATTTGATTTCTTTGTTTTAATTATTTGTTTTGGTTGTTTGTTTGTTTTACTAGTCTGAATTAGAAAAATTTAAAGTTCACCTTGGACGTCAGTTGAGCATGCAGTATGAATCCAAGGCGAAAGGCACAGAAAAAGTTGTTGCTGAAAATGAAAGACTTCGTAAAGAACTTAAAAAGGTGTGACTTTCATGACTAATGAAAAATTATTCATTTCTCTTTCAATTAAGTAAGACATCTGGGCAAAACTTAAAATGGATCCTTAATGACAGTGTCTGTACCAAGTAGATAATTAAGGAATTTAGGAATTGTGTTTTTATACTTGTCATTATATCCTTTCACTGTGAGGGATATTGAGAATATGAAAATTAATAAATTCAAAGGCAGTGTAATGTAGAAGCTACTCACATTGGATTCAGATCCTAGCTCTTAGCATTCATGGGAATTAGGACAAGCTACTTCTTTCTGTTCTTTAATTCCCTCATATATAAAATTGGGATAGTACACATATATCACAGAGCTTCTGCGAGGTTTAAGCCAGTTAATGTTTGTTTATTCATGTGACTTAGAACATGCCTCTCCTTTTTATTTAAATGGCAAAATATATTCCTTGCTCCAGACAAGTAGACATTGCTATTTATAAGGATGTTCCACTGAATAAATTGAAATTAATATATTGTAAACTGGTTATAAGAGAAACTGCGTGTATTACAAGGCCATCTTGATAATGTGTTTAAAAATGAATGTATAATAGTGAAAATTACCTGTCACTTACACATGGTTTATGCTTATAGCCAGTTCTTTTAAATTAGAAAGTCAAAACACAGTATCCATTAAATGTGTACAAAGATATAAACTACCCCATTATTCTAAAAATGTTACGGAGAACAAAATGACAAATTTAAGAGTAACCACTAGAGTAAATACTAGTAAATATATTTCTCTGGCCTCATTTACATGATCTTTCTTAGTAATTATTATGATCAAATTGTGTATTACAGGAGAAACTGGATTTTTATTACAGTTGTAATCAGCATTTAGAACTCTATACTTTGTTTTGCAACTTATAATTTTGAATACATTGAACCTTTAAGAACGGTATTATGTTTTGTCATAATATGCTAATTAACTTTTAATGTTAGGAAACTGAAGCTGCAGAGAAACTGCGGATAGCCAAGAATAATTTAGAGATATTAAATGAGAAGATGAGAGTTCAACTAGAAGAGACTGGTAAAAGATTACAATTAGCAGAGTGTAGAGGTCCACAGCTTGAAGGTGCTGACAGCAAGAGCTGGAAATCAATTGTTGTTACAAGGTAGGAACAATTGCAATGTTTAAAACTTGTACAGAGTTTACTTAGTTCTGATCCTGACATCATTGATTTCAAAGAATATTATTCTTAATAACCTAGTTTGTTTTTTTATGCTAATATTGTTGTGCTAATATTCTGTCCTAGCATTACCAAAGAGTCTTTTCTTCCACAGAGCAGATGGAGTGGGCTCAGGCCTTGGAGCCAGGTGGATGGCATGAAGCTGCCCTCAGCCAGGAGCCTGGCTGATGCTGCCCAGGTTCCCCAGGGTGCTGTTTTTCTCCAACTCCAACCTCGACTTCTTTATTTATACTTCACATATGAGCTAGAACAAGTGATCTGTCTTGTCGCAGTCTGTGCTGAGTTGCAATACTTTTGGACACTCTGTTTTCAGATAGCCCCAGCAGATGTTTTCAGCAATTTTTAGTCTAGCCTCTGTCTACTTATACTCAGTTTTCTCCTGGCCTGTGAACCTTTCCTGAAAATATATGGGATTTTTGCCTGTAAAGCTAATCCTTGTGGCTGTGGGATTTTATAGGTAAACATGTGTCCTTGAATCGCCATGATTTCGTATCACCGTGGGTAGTTTGTCATGATCGTGATGTGTTGGCAAAAGGCTCTGGAGTCATTCCCATTGCTGATTCAGAGTCTTGAGGCAAGTGACCAATTGGATCCTGCCTATGTCCTTTCCCACCATAATTGTCCTGTGTGAAACAGTATTCTTCACCATCAACATTTCTGCTGCTCTCACTTCAAACTGCAAACTCACCTACATGGTATCATCTCCATAAAGTTCCTCATATTTGGTCTCCTCTCTGATGTCTTCGAGGACTATGTCTGCCCTAACTGCTATTTGGAATGACCTTGATGGGAGGCAAGATGGTATCCACCATCACTACAGCTAGGATGGGAATCTTATGAGCACTGTGAGACTAAAAGGTCCCACAGAGGTGGACTGGCCATGTTGTACTTGGCCTTGTCAGCCAGGTCTAAGGTAAAAAGAGAAAAGTTAAGCAGACGCATTAGGGACAGTATAGAAGGCTGTATGGTCCTGGAGGAGTCCTTTGTTTCTATCCAGACACTATACCTAGAGGAGTCAGAATCTACCCTTCTCCCCTTTAGCCCTCATTTTTTCGATCTACATCCTGGAAATAATTATTATGCCCAAAATTTGGTGTCAGGGTGAAAATAATCAATATGTTTAAGTATGGAGGGAAGACAAACCAGTCCTTGTGTCTCCTCAGATGGTGGCTTTCAGTTATCAACCTTATCAGTGAATGTTTTGGTTGATCCTTTATTTTCTTCTGCAGTCACATGTGGTTTCAGAAAGAATATTGAATTACTTTCAGATGTATTTGTTCAGCAAATGTTTACCTAGTGCCTGCTACTGCGAGAATCTGTCCTTCATGCTGGGTGTTATGTCAAAAAGGCCTGTCTTGCCTGGGTTCCTTTGGAGAGCTCAGTAGCGCCCATGACCTAGAAAAAAAGGAATTCTTACTGTGGCTTTGACTAAATTTTATATCTATGACTCAAGTTATTTGAATCTGTGGAGATGATGACTCCTCTCCTTTTCTAAAAAAACTCCCTGAAGCTACAAACAAGATTAATGAAGGGCTAGGGATTTAGCTCAGTGGTTCTACTGCCTGCCTCACAAGTGCAACAACCCAAGTTTGATCCCCGCTACCAAAAAACAAAACAAAACAAACAAAAAACAAAAGCAGTTAATGAGATTTAAAACTGATGGGAAGATGAAGATATTAATCATAATTGGAGATGATTTAATGGTTTAAATCATTTGTATTTTGTTAATTTGAAAACTGCCAGTGTAACTGTGCATAGAGAATGCTCTTTTCAAGAAAAAAAAATAAGTCAAAATAGAAATTCTGAGAGAAAAAGGTCATTCTGGTCCTTGATTTCCAGGTTCACTAAATCTACCCTCTTCCCTGAGGGGGAGAAAATAATTGCTATAGTCTTAACTGAGATTATACACTCAGTTCAGTGAAGCACTTTAGAGCTGCCTCTTGGGATCCATGACACAAGTGGTCTTGCTCATGCTGAAATCCTTATAGTAGCCGTTCTCTATTCAACAAACTTAATAACACATTCTGTGTCACACCTTATCCTGTCCTTGGGACAGTCCAGGGTGATGTGGAGTCATCTCTGGAGGGGTCCTCTCTGCTTGGATGGCTTGAGCAGCAATGTGAATGAAGTGAAGGAATGAGTGTCTTGTATTTTTCCTTTATCCTTTGGCAGACAGTCTTTTCATGTAAAGAACATTGCTTTCTATGGACTCTTAAAAGTTTTTCTTTAATACATTTAGTTAATCGTAGTTTTTCTTCTTTAAACTGTGTCTACCAAATTTTGTTGCCAAAGAAGTACTGCTATCTTTTTTTAACTTAATAGAAAGGCACTCCCTCCTTTCCCCCTTTTTCTGGAAAAGCTGGACTATTATAAGCATTATCTTTATTTAGGTATGATGTCACCGCAGAAGTGTCCGGCTCAATTTTTGACAATTTACTTTGTCATGAATTTTTAAAAACTTTTTAGACTTTGATACGCTTCATTTTTCCTACATGGTGCGTGCGCTGTTTCTCTCACCCATGATTTTGGACAAATTTTTACTTCTGCTACATTGTTTTTTGTTTAGTTTTTTGCTACATGGATAACCCTCTGTATATATGAAAAAAGTTTTCTGTGTACATGCATGAAAAGTTTTTCTGCCACTTTGTATTCCTAGTGATTTTCACTAATACAAATTTGATATTCGATGAATTTGACCATATTTTTTTGTTTTGTAACTTTTACACTGAACTTTACAATGGTCAAATTCAGATTCCATCCTTATTCATAATTTTGAGAAACACCTAGTCTCTTTTAATTGGCATATTTGTTAAATAGAGATACTTATCGTTGGTATCACCTTTTAGTGCTAAATTACTGTGTACACAAAAAGGAAAATGGTTTGACTAAAAGAGACTATAGTAAGATAATCTTTTTAATGTAATAATTTGAACTGACTTAAATTAATGAGAAATTACATACTATGTCTATACTGTTTTTTTCCTTTATACTTTTAGAATGTATGAAACTAAGCTGAAAGAATTGGAAACTGATACTGCCAAAAAGAATCAAAGCATTACTGACCTTAAACAGCTTATAAGAGAAGCAGCAGAGAGAGAACAAAAAGTCAAGAAATACACTGAAGACCTTGAACAACAGGTATGCAATATAATTTTTCCATGTAAATGGTAAAACAATGCATTATATCTCAAGCGAATCTGTATTAAGTAAAAAAAAGACTTAATCCGTACCCTAGAAGTCTCATCTAACTGAATGTCACCATCATTTTACCCATTTATTTGAGCCAGAAATTATCAATCACTGACTTCATTCTTCCTGTCATTCCCCACATCCCTTTGATCACTAAATCATACCAGCTGTGTTTTCAAAGTATATCCCAAACCTCACTTCCTCTCAGCCTCTCCGTCACTACCATTCTTGTAAAGGCTATTATCTCATACTCAGACAATTGCAGCGATCTGCTAACTGGTCTCCTGGTCTGTTGACATCTACTCTTGCCGTCATTTTACCTTCTCCATATCTCTGTTCTGTTTTCCACACAGTTGTCAAATAATCTTTCTGAAGGGTAAAGCAAAGTACCAGTCCCTCCCTCAAAATCTTCCAGCGGTTCTTCATCACCTTAGAATAAAACTTTATTGTAAAGTCTGTTCCTGGCCTATAAACCCATGATCTGATGCTTAGTTTTTCTCCAGTGTTCATCTTCTACCATTTTTTCCTCTCTCAGTGTTTTTGCCACAGTAACTTTTTTTTTTTTTTTTTTTTTTTTT